TAAGCTGCTTTAAATTTAGTACATTAAGGTTAAAATACAGAAGCAATACTTGCTTTAGAAGCTCATATTCAAAAAAATCCAGCAGATTCTAATGCTTGGAGAATTTTAGGTAGATTACATTAAGAAAATGATTAAGATTAAAGAGCTGTAGCTGCATTCTTAAATGCTATGAAATAAAATCCTAATGAATTAGATACTTTAAGTGCTTTGGGTATATCTTGTACAAATATTCTTGATGAAGTTAAGGCTATGTCCTTTTTAAAATAATGGTTAATAAGAAATCCAAATTATAAGATTGCTGTAGATGATAGTATTGTACCTGATAATACAAATATTTATGATTATACTATAGATTAAATTAAATGCATGAATGCAAGAATGATATAAGTTTTTGAAGCTGCACATTAATAAGGACCTAATGATGTTGAATTATTAAATGGATTAGCTGTACTTTATTTTATTGAAAGAAATTATCAAAAATCTGTAGAAATCTTTAAGAAAGCACTTTAAATTGAACCTAAAAATTATTAGATTTGGAATAAATTAGGTGCTACTCTTGCTCATCTTGGTGAAGCTGATTAAGCCATGTTTTGTTATCATAGAGCTTTAGATCTTAGACCTAATTATGTTAGAGTATGGGTTAATTTAGCATTTGCATATTCTTATAAAGGAGAATATTTAGATGCTGCTAGATTATATCTAAGTGCTCTTATGATTAATCCATAAGCTAAACATATTTGGGGTTATTTATAAACAGCATTTTTATAATTATGTATCTATTATATTTATTTTAAATAGAAAGACCTGATTTAATATCAAAGATTTAACATTATGATCCTATGCTATTTAAAGATGAATTTAATGTAACTAATCCTAATGATTTACCAGAACCTGAAATATTATGTAATTTCTTTATCATATGATTCATTAGATAGAGAAGCCAATAATTTATATATATTTAAAATGCCTGAAGAAGAATGGTTGTAAACAACACAAAAAAAATCTTGAGATTAATCATTCTATATTTTGTTTAAAAATATTAATAATTTATTAAATGCAAAATTCAGGATAACCAAGTTCAGAAATTGAAATACCTCTTCCTAGTTTTACAAACAACTCATAATTGCTGTCAGAAAGTGAAAATGATGATGTATAAAGAGATTCATAACCAGTAATTCAAAAAGCAGATTCTCATGAATCTGTAATCTCTGAACATGAAGAATAACCTAAGAAATATAGATAAATTATTTAAGCTTTAGATATAATTGGTCTCCTTGGATTATTAATTTATTGCATTTTAATACAGTCTTATTACTCAACTTTTTATTTGATATGTTTGCTTTTAATTTTAAATTACTCATATATTAATAGATACAAAGGAATTTAAGTTAAAGATGGCAAACTTTATACTTTGACAGAATTCGCTGCCTAATAATAAGAGTTCCATAACACTAATTAAAATTAAGAATAATCTGAAAAATACTTTACTACTTAATATTGGTTAGTTCTTCATGATTTTAAAAAACTTGTTTGGTACAGTTTTCTTATAGTGTCTACAATATCTTTGATTGTAAAGCTTTCGTTATACCCTATAGTAAAAAATGGAGTAATTTAATTTAATATAGTAAGGGTTTTACTATGATGTCAATTGAAAACTTTAGAGGACTAGAAATTTACTTCACAGTTATTAATGGTTAAATATTTGTCACTTCTGCTAATCAAAGTTTAGCTTTTGCTCCCAATTGTGTGATGTTATTTTTGGCCATAATTATTTTAATTTTCAGGGATATCTAAATTAAATAAGAATTCTATGAATTAACCGATAGTCCTATTCTAACTAAATTTTTTATAGTAAAAATTTTAATATTATTCAGCTATTAATGTTACTTAACTTAATAATCTTGACTTGTTGTACAAAATCTTTTATCGGCCTAATTATGTGGACTTTTTAATTAATTTTGCTATTAAGAATGTATAACAATCAATTAGTAGAAAATCTTTATTTTATAATATTAAAGATTGTAATTATGGTGATATTAGTGGTTATGTATTTTATCAGTACACCAATAAAGAATGTTATCCTTTAAAATAATCAGCTAGCTTCCTTCACTCTATAATTTACAGGGTTTTAATTATTTGGTTACTTTAGTGATTATGAAGCATAAGCCATCTTATTTATTATCTTCTCAATTATTGTTCTTAATATGCTTTGTTTAGTTAATGAAAAGATTAAGACTCAAAATATAAAAAATCAATTTAATTACACAATAACTGAAATTTCTTAATAATATCAAGACTTTAAGTAATATTAAGAACTAGTTAAAAGTGAATTACGTAATATCTCTGTAGATATTAATGATTCACCTAAAGGAAGAAAGAAAAGTTAAGAAGAAGATGAATTATCGGATTCTAATGAAATGAATGATGAACAAATAGAAGAAGAAAAAGAAATTTCAAATGAAGATTTCGAAGAATAAGAGTATGATGAATAAAAAGAAAATGTTTAAAAAGAAAATGCTCCAAACGTTCTTTTAGATCAATTAGCAAATTCTACTATTTATTTTCATAAATTAGAAAAAGCTTGGTATACTTCATTAGAAAAAATTAAATATGTAATTGATAAACCAATCATTTCATTGATCATTTTATAGATATTGTCATTAAGTATTGTCATACTCTAATAAACATATTTTTCTATTTTATTAGTATGTTGGCTTATTTTAACAGGATTCACTTTGGATTTTAAAATAATACGTTTAGCTACTATATTTTTTAATATTCCATCCTTATTGATTAATTTCTTTACTTTTTATTATAGTAATATAACAGGATTAGATAGACCAGATAACTTTTATTCATTTTGTCCTTCTAGTTAATACAAAAATATTGATGATTTACCAACAACTGTTTGTTAAAAACTTGGATTCTTTTATTAAAATAATTCAGCTGTAAATTCAATTTTAATGAATTGCACCTTGTGTTTATTTTTTTTATTCATTAAATAAATTGAAGAGTAATAAGAAAAAGAAAATTAAATACAAGCTTAAACTAATGATATTGAAGTGGATCCTAAATGGTTTAATATAGCTTTAGCTTTTTTCTTTAAAATTGACTTTTATATTGTTATAGTTTTATTATATTGGGTTGGATTTAATGAAATTAATATAATATCATTTATTATGATATTACTTTTAATAATATTTATTGTTAATCAATCAAATAAAAGTAAACATAAAGGAAAAAGTGTTCCTTTTTAATAAAAATATTGGTTACTTCTTTTAATTTATATAAGTTTTCTAACATTAATAAAATATTTGTATATTTTATTTGGAGCTTCATCAAGTTATTTTGTTGTTTAGGTTTTAGGATTTAATATGTTAAATAAACAAATGGTTTTAAATTGGATATTGTTTTATATGATAATAATTCAATATTATGGGTTTAATACTGTTTTATATGATAAATATTCAAACGTAAATAAAAATCATATTTTAGAGATTAATAGGAACTATCTCATCAGTTGAGAGTATTAAAAACAATGCACCTAATTTTAGATATCATTTTGGAATATTAGAAACAATATATAGCCATTCATTAATATGGACAGCTTATGTTATCAATATTTGTTTTTTATTATTCACTCCATATAGTTACCTAAATAATTTATTATTATTTTATATAGGAATTGTATTTTTATACCATGTTAAATCAATAAATTCTTAAATTAATTATATTAATTTAAGATTATTATGGTATATTTATTTATAAATGTTACTGATAGCTTTTGCATATAGATATCTTTTTTCATTTTTGTAATCATTTATAAATTTTATTAGTTAAGCTGTGTTCCAAACTTAAGTACAAAATCAGAAGGATTTTAAACTTTTTATGAAAATCTGTAACATTATTATCAGGAAGCTGGTTTATATTCATATTCGACTGATAATTTAAGGATAGAATATTTAGCTGATACATTAAATATTTTATTTGGAGCATTTGCTTTAAATTAATTAACAAAATTTAAGAAATTATAAATTAAATAAAGTAATTAAAATTTAAGCGAATCTTATTCATAAAATGTTTTAGATTTAAAGATATTAGAATAATAAAAGTGGCTTAAATCAATTTTAATTGGAATTGCTCATATTAATACAGATTTAATCACAATATATATTGTAATATCTTGTGTTCTTTACTTAAGATCAATAGCTGCATTCATATTATTAACATTATATTTAAGTTATTTTTTTCGTGTGCATAATTCAATTTTAGATATCCTAGATGAATAATAAAGTTTAATGAAACTATAAAAATGTAAAAAATTTAGATATTTATTTAGAAATTAATTTATTAAAATAATTGTATCTTGAATTTGCTTCAGATATATCTCATATTGATGAACCTCAAAAAATAAAAAGATTAAATGATGAAATTAAATTGTTACGATTAAATAAAAGAATTAAACTTAAAAGAGCAATTTGGTTATATTCCTTTTATTTTACTGCTTTTTGTATTTTCTTATCATATTTATCATAATTTCTATCAACTGAATCTTTTACAACAATTGTAAATCCACCATAATGGGTTGATTATACTGTACTTAGTTTTTTTATTTTTGGAACATACTCTAGATAATATATAATTACAAATTAATGCTATTGTGGCTATGAATCAAATAATAATAATTGTAATGAGACTGATTATGTTTAAACTTAGTCAAATATGTGGTAGGTAACATGGTTTTATTTGTTTTTGCTATTTGTTAATGTCATTGATACAGCTTGTACAAAGATTTTAGAAGATGATTTAAAAAAAAATATTGATAATTTATAAGAAACTTAAGAAATGAATAAAATAGAAGAATCAAGAATTTAAAATTAATCTTATGAAGAGAGTAAAGAAATATTTGATATAAAATATGATTTTGTTGCTTTTGTAAAAAGTCATAGTAATTACGAATCATTTGAAAGAGAAGTATTAATTTTAAATTACTTTATAAATAAAAGTAGATTTGTAAAGATATTACTTTATGATTCATTATTTAAAATATTTTAAAGATTTCTAATTTTGCTTTATTTGTCAAATACTTTATTAGTTAATACAATTTTTTCACTATTTTACTTAATAATATCTGTAATTTTATTTTAAATGAATGCAACAGCTAAAAGTACAAAGAAATTAAATTCTATAGCAATATTTTCAATATTATTTTAATATTTTTTATATCTTCTAAATTGGACTCCATCAGATAATGATATTCCTTAATTAAACTATTTTAATTTAACACCTTAAGATTTTAATTTGATGGCTAAAACGAATATATCTGATTATTGGTTAGCTTTTTTAGGATTTCAAGGTACAGAAATAATGGATTGTGAATCATTATAATAGAGTTTATTTTATGATATGAAATGTGAGACTAATTAATTACTTAACATTGTTATTGTATTTAATTGTCTTATAGTATCATTTATTTATTTGTATTTTTTAATGCTTGAATGGTTTTGTGATCAAATTTATCAATAATCTATAAAAATGAAAAATGAATTTATTGTTTGTAAAAAAGTACTTAGTAATCACAGTGATAGTTAAATGATTATTAATTATAATCTTTGGAGATAAAAGAATTATAGTTTTAGACATATTTTAATTTAAACAATTACAATGAATTATCATTTGATTCTATTTGGATTTGTATTGTTTTTAAGTGAAATGAATAGATCAATGTTTAATCTAGTTTAATTACTTATTGTTATAGGATTTATATATGTAGCAGAATTTCATTTTAAATGGCCTTATGTATTTAGTGAAAGAAGGATTATTACGGCATTTTATTAAGGAATATTTACTTTATCAGCAATAATAATAGGCTTATTCACATTATTAAAGGTTCCAACTTTTTTGGATTAATGTGTTAATACTAAAGCATTTAGAGAAGATGTAGGGAATGGTTTAGAATTTTATTGTATGGAAGCATTTAAGTTGAGAATTGATGGACAGATATTTTTAATGTTTTTTATTACGTTATTTTTTGATTTATAGGCATCTCATCATCTTCAAACTAGATAAGATAATTATTAAACAAATATGAAATTAAGATCTAAAATGATTTCAAGAGGTCTTGCTTATTCTTATAATTATTTATAATATAAAAAGATATTAGAATTATAAGAAGAAAAAAATGTTTTAAATTAGATATCAGATACTATTGAATAAAAAATGATAATTTGGAAAAGTAGAGTAAGGGAAATATCAATGAAGAAAAAAGAAAGAGAAGTTTCAGTTAAAATTCAATAATAACAATTTCCATAATTAACTGCAAGTTTTATGACTGAACCAGAAGTTTAAATACCAAAAGATTAATCTTTTTTTAGAAAAACTTATATTAAAATGATTCTGTGGATGAGAAATGACAAATAATTAATAAAATTTATGCCTTTCCATGTTTTAATGGATTATATATTATAATAAAATAAACGACTATAGAGACATGTATTTATTAAATTAGAGAATCATCTAATGAATGATACTGCAGTTTATGAGGAAGAAATCAAAACTCTCGAAAAAATATATAGAAGATTTTATCAAGAAATAAGTAAAAATAAAGATAAATTAAATAATGTTGTTTTAGATAGTTTTATTTAAAAAGCTATGGAAAAATACAAAAAATTTTATAAACCATAGAATGAATAGAAATATATTAAATATTATGAATAATACTAAATGAATTATAATTTAAGCAAGGAATTAAGGTTTGTTCATATTATAGATGAAAAAGAAAGAATAGTTTTAGAATAAACAAAATAAAAATATCCAATTAATAAATTAATTTAAATGAAAACAATAAATTTATTTAGTTTGTTTCTTTAAGATATTTTTAAATATTGTTTAATAAAATGGGATTCAATAACAAACATTATTATAATATGTTATTATTTCAAGAATTATGCCCTTTTAGGAATGGTATTACCAATAATAATGTTTGTATGGGGTTTAATTGATGTTAATTCAAAAATATTTTGGATAATTTCTTATTCATTATATTTTTTTATTATTTTAATTATATTTGTAGATTCAATGTATGGAGTTGCATATAGTAATTTAAATAAACCTCAATAATTTATTCCATGGTATTACTTATTAGACAATAGTAATACTTTTGGTTTATTTTATGAAATATTTACAATTTGGATAATAACATTTTAAGTTTTTTTATAAAAATCATTTGGAATTTTTGATTATCCTTTCACATAGATAGAAAATATATTTTAAGGTTATATTAGATTGAAATTGAATAATTTTAATAAAGATATGGTAGATGAGATAATTTAAGAATCAGAAATTTAAAGATCAAGATCTAAGTCAGAAATAGCTAGAATTTAGAATGCAGAAATAGAAAGAATAGAGTTGGTAAATTAATTGTAAGGAAAATTATAATTGGAAAAATCAGGAATGGAAGAAGAAGAGAGTGTTTTGAAATAAATAGGAAATGATTTAGAAAGAAAAATAGCAGCAAATCCTGAAATAATTAGTGATAAATATTAGCCTGGATTTTTTGAGAAAATAATGTCTTATGAATATGCAAGACCAGGATTAGATCTTTATTTAGCAATAGCTTCTATTTAAGTAATATTATTTTTATATTTGCTTTTTTTTTTTAATTTTATGACTGGATAATCATAAAATATTGAAGGATATTTAAAGTATAATTAAGTACCAGCTCAATTAGTTTTAGCATTAGTATTTTAAATGATATTTATGATGATTGAAAGATATATTGAATTAAGAGGAGATTAAAAATATATTAATCAAGAAAGGACTGTTTATAAAAATAAATACAAAACATAGTTTGTTTAAAAATATATTTTATAAATTGTAATACTAATTTTGGTGTTTCTTTTTGTTTATTGTTATTTACTTAGACTTTGGAATAGAACTTAAGATGATTACAAAGATTATAATTCATCTATTGTAATATTTTTTATTTTCTTTTGTGCTTATTTTTATTTATCTGCTCTTTAATTAAGATATGGATATAGAGAATTGAAAGTAAGAAATTAATTTTTATATGTTTATAATTAATTGAGCTATTATTTTGCTTTAACATTCTATTCAATTCCATTTTTATATGATTTAAAGGTATTAATGGATTGGACTTGTTTATATACATCACTTGATGTTTTTTAATGGTTTACTTTAGAAGATATTTAAAGATAATTATATTTTACTAAAATATCTTCTGAAAAGATAATGAAAAGACCATTAGGATTAAAAATTACAAAATTAAACAAATTAATCTATTTTTTCTTTGTGATTTTTATCTTAATTTGTATATTTGTTCCTTTGATATTATTTTCTGCTCTAAATCCAGCTTCAGAAGATAATCAAATAGTAAGTGGATCATTTATAATAAATCTTGTAAATGTAGATACTAATTTAAATGTTTAACTTTATGAATCAAGTCAGTTGATGGGTTTAGATTTACCGATTATAAGAGATGCTAAAACTATAAAAGAGTTAACTGACTAAAATAAATTATCTTAATAATAAATAGATAATTCAGGAGGAATTTAAAGATTTTAATTATCTGACTTTTCAAATTTCAAATGGTAAATTTCTCTACCTTTATATACTTAATTAATTAGAGAGTTGAATCAAACTTTATTTAATGAGGAAGATTATACTTTTATGTTTAATGTAACTTTTACATTTCGACGACGTTTTTAATTTATTCTTCCTTCAATATATAAGTTTTCATATCCTTACAATCCTTTAGTAAATGGTGAAAATGGAACTACAGGATTAAATAGAAGTTAACTCTAATACATTAAAGATGCTTCTATGAATTGTAATAATAAAGGAATTCTTTTACCAAATTTCTATATAGAGGCTCTAAGAATTTATTAAAGTTCTGCTACAAATTATAATACAACTCCTATTTATGGGAATAATCTCAATACTGTTTAAGATGTTTTCTTAAATATTAATTGTTCTAAAGGGAATACAAATCCTCTTTAAGGAGTTTCTAATTGGGAATTTAAGTATGCTGGAAATAGTAGCTTAAATTAATCAAATATTACTATGGCTAATGGATTATTATACTTTGTAGTATGTGATTAATACTCTGTCTTAACATATGGATTAAGTGTTATCACTATTTATACTACAATTATTCTTCTTATTGCTAAATGCATTAGAAGTACATTCTCTTCACAGGTATTTATGTTAGAATTCACATAAATGGTATAACCAGATGATCTATTATAATTATGTTAGGCTGTATCTACTGCAAGATAACTATAAAATTATCGAAAGTATTAAGATTTATTTATTTATTTAGAGAAAATTTATTATATTTTGAGTTAATTGATATTATACGCTCTCCAGAATTAGTCAAAGCAATGACAGGTGCTTGGTCAGAAAAGTTTTATACCTAATAAAATGATAACAAATAATTATAAAATCAAGAGCAAATTAATCAACAAGAACAAAAATTAAAGAAAGATTGAATTTATATTATTTTTATTTTCAGAGGGTTTATTACTATTTAATAAAAATTTAAAGTCTAAAAGGATTTCCTTTTATTAAATTCGTAAATTCAAAATTTCATACTTTCACATTCATTTCTTATTTAATTCTTTTTAAAGTTATGTTTATTTTAATAACTTTGTCAATCTTTTTAATTGTATCANTTCTCTACCTTTATATACTTAATTAATTAGAGAGTTGAATCAAACTTTATTTAATGAGGAAGATTATACTTTTATGTTTAATGTAACTTTTACATTTCGACGACGTTTTTAATTTATTCTTCCTTCAATATATAAGTTTTCATATCCTTACAATCCTTTAGTAAATGGTGAAAATGGAACTACAGGATTAAATAGAAGTTAACTCTAATACATTAAAGATGCTTCTATGAATTGTAATAATAAAGGAATTCTTTTACCAAATTTCTATATAGAGGCTCTAAGAATTTATTAAAGTTCTGCTACAAATTATAATACAACTCCTATTTATGGGAATAATCTCAATACTGTTTAAGATGTTTTCTTAAATATTAATTGTTCTAAAGGGAATACAAATCCTCTTTAAGGAGTTTCTAATTGGGAATTTAAGTATGCTGGAAATAGTAGCTTAAATTAATCAAATATTACTATGGCTAATGGATTATTATACTTTGTAGTATGTGATTAATACTCTGTCTTAACATATGGATTAAGTGTTATCACTATTTATACTACAATTATTCTTCTTATTGCTAAATGCATTAGAAGTACATTCTCTTCACAGGTATTTATGTTAGAATTCACATAAATGGTATAACCAGATGATCTATTATAATTATGTTAGGCTGTATCTACTGCAAGATAACTATAAAATTATCGAAAGTATTAAGATTTATTTATTTATTTAGAGAAAATTTATTATATTTTGAGTTAATTGATATTATACGCTCTCCAGAATTAGTCAAAGCAATGACAGGTGCTTGGTCAGAAAAGTTTTATACCTAATAAAATGATAACAAATAATTATAAAATCAAGAGCAAATTAATCAACAAGAACAAAAATTAAAGAAAGATTGAATTTATATTATTTTTATTTTCAGAGGGTTTATTACTATTTAATAAAAATTTAAAGTCTAAAAGGATTTCCTTTTATTAAATTCGTAAATTCAAAATTTCATACTTTCACATTCATTTCTTATTTAATTCTTTTTAAAGTTATGTTTATTTTAATAACTTTGTCAATCTTTTTAATTGTATCATAATTTAAGGATTTTATAAATTCTAAGAAAATATAATAAATTATCATTATTATAAGCTATCTTATAGAAGTAATTGTAAAAATAATAATAAACTTTTGATATAATATTTTTAGTTATTAATGTCACAGATATCAAAATATTAATTACAAGGGAAAATTGGATCTGGTGTTTATGGTGATGTCTATAAGGCAATTAATACATAAACAGGAAAAATTGTGGCAATAAAAAAAATAAAGAAACAGGTTTTCTATAATTTTTAATATAGTCACAAGATTAAGGGATATCTTCAGTTGCATTGAGAGAAACATCTATATTATAAACAGTATAATGTGAAAATATAGTGAAGTAAGTATTAAAAATGATAAAAGATTGATTGAAATTGAATATGTTTAAGGATGCATAAGATTAGTAATGGAATTCTATGATGTTGATTTAGATACATATTTGAAATCAAACAGATTGGAAATGAATAAGATTTAAGTAATTATGATAGATTTCTAAATAGGAAATATTACATGGAATATTGAAAGGGATGAATGAATGTCATAGAAAGAAGTGTATGCATAGAGATCTGAAACCATAAAACATATTAATAAGTAAGGATGGTAATATTTTATGGAAATTCTATTTTTAAGGAAAAGTTAAAATAGGAGATTTTGGAATGGCTAGATCTTTTCAATAGATGCCTGGAGCTTTTACATTTGAAGTGATTACATTATGGTATAGACCACCAGAACTGTTACTTTCAACTACTTGTTATACAACAGCTATAGATGTGTGGTCGATTGGATGCATATTTGCTTAAATGATTCTTAGAGCACCTTTATTTGCTGGGGATAGTGAAATAGAATAGATGTAATTGATATGTGAAAAAATATCTTTTAAATAAGATAATGCTTAAGTTTTATCTGTATCTCAATTATTATAATTTTTAGAATTCTTTGTTTTAAAATTTATTGGAATAGAAGTTAGATGAAAAGTTTAAGAATACATCTATTACTTAAGATGGTTTGGATTTATTGAAGGTAAAAAATAATATAAAATATTAATCTAGAAATTATTATTATTGAATCCAACCAATAGAATTTCTTGTCATGAAGCTCTAAGGCATGTAATTTTTATTTATTATTGTTTAAGCCATTCTTTAATAATTTCCAATAACCAGATGTTGAAAATTAAAATATGGATATATTGTCAGAGTATTTTAGTGTTTAATAATGATTAAGAAATTTAGTTTCAATTAAGGATGATTCCTTAAATTCAATAATTTAAATATCGAAATATATATAATATAAAATATTTTTAAAACAAGGATTTCTTTTTTAATCTTCTTCATATACAAAAAAGAAGAATAATAAGAACTATATAGAAAAATTAATATTTCAAAAAATAATTATATTAGTTTTATTATTGGTAAGATTGTATTTTTATTTAATGTAAAATTAAAGTTATTTTAACTAGAATCTAAAATTTTAATCTTTTGTAATAAATGTTTTTTTACTTGTAATTTAAAGTTTTATTTATTTAAACGGGAATCTAAAATATTAATCTTTTTAAATTGATTCTAAATACATTATTTTTTAAAAAGAATAGCAAACAAAATAATATATTAGAGTTAATATTATAAATAAATGTGATTATTTATACATGAATAGGAATAATTATCTCATTAAATTTATCTTAATACACTATTTATGATATTAAATTTATTTAATACAAAAAAAAAATATAAAAGAAGTAAAATTAAAAAGTTATATTGTGAATGAGGAAAGCAATAAAATAGAAAATAGAAGATGCATTTTTGTTTAGGCTATATTTAAAAAATATAAACAAATATTATAAGCCACAAATACGGTATTATAAAGATTCTAATTATTTAACTTGAATGCTAATTAAATGACTTTATTAATAAATATTTTAATAAATGGCTGCCACTCTTGAATAAATAAAAAAGGAAATAGCAGCATAATAAGAAGCTTAGAATGGAGAATTAGAAGATTTGGATATTGAGGGAATCGCAATTGGTCAATTTGATTCTCAATCAGCAAATGTTATTCAATAACATTAGAATTTGATAAGTTTGAGTTTAGTGGAATGTTAATTGAAAAACTTAGAAGGATTCCCAAAACTAGCAAATTTAGAAAATCTAATTTTGGAGGCAAATTAATTAGATGGTTAAGCCATAACATACATAAGCAAAAATTTTAAGAAATTAGCATGTTTAAGTCTAGCAGATAATAAAATATCAAAATTTGAAGTATGATAAGACAAATAAAATAATAGGAAGTAGAGCCATTGAAATCCCTAAAGCAATTACAACAGTTAGATTTAGCTGACAATCCTATTACTTAACTTCCAGGATATTTCAATAAAATTTTTGAGATCATTCCAAGTTTATAAGTTTTAGATAATAAGGATAAGGAAGGTTAAGAGATTCAATATTCTGTAATACTAATATTAATAAATTGATTAGAGTGAAGGTGAAGATGAAGGAGATGAATTTGATGATTTAGGTGGTAAAGAAGGAGATGAAGATGATGATGAAGAATTTGATTAAGATGATGATGATGATGATGAAGAATCTGATGTTAAACCAGTTAAGAAGAATAAAAAATGAAGTTTGTTTGTTCTTTTTAGATCATTTATAAAATGTGTTTTATAATATTTTTAATAATGATAAAAAATTAAGGAGCATCATTAGAAGGCATAGAATAAAAATTTAACAATAAGATTAAATTATTATAGACTTAGTAAATAGATTCATATGTAATTATCAATGGTAATGTGTCAAATATAGATTATAATGATGATATATAAAGAGAAAAAGCATTCTATGAATTTACATTAAATAACTTAAATAAATTTTAAAATACCAATTAAAATATCTCATTCATCAGAATTGATTAGGATTTTTTATTTAAGTAAATAGGAGAAGTTATTTTTAATCCTATTGTTAATTCTGCAGTACATATTAAAAATGTAGAAGAAAAAGAACTTAATTAATAAGGAAAGAAAATTTAAACACTTCTTACAGCTAAAAAATCTAATTAATAAAAACATTAAAAAATTATTGAAGAAATTAAAAAGGCTATGAAAAAAAAACCAGTTGATGAATTGGATAAAGATGAAATATAAACCATTGAATAAAAATTAAAACCAATAAATAATTTAAAAAAAGGAATTAAAAAGAAGAAGACAAAAAGATTAGGAAAATTAGCTAGATTACACAAAAGACTTAAATTAAATAGTAGAAAATAAAAATGATTAAAAATATTAATTTATTTTATTTCATTTTCAATATAAATTATCAAATAAGCTTGAATAGTAATTTTAAAAAAGTAAATCATAATAATATTATCATAAAATAAGATATTTGATATCATTTAGAAATATCAGAATCAGAACTTGCTGGATCTTTCATTTATTTTATCATAAAGATTAAAATAAAAACTCCACAAGTACATAATAAAACTAATAGAAAAAATAAAATTGACCAAATAGGAATATTGTAAACAACCTATTATTTATAATTAATAATTACTTCTCTTTAAACTTCTTAAATTAAATTACATTCTTTTTCATAATCAATAAATTATTAAGAGACAAGTGATTTAAATCTATCATATTGACAATACGTTCCTTTCTAAGAACATATAGGTACATATTTTCCATTATATAGTATTCTCACATATAATCCATTTTCTGTGTTATTGTATAGCTCGAATATGAGATTAGAGGAAAACTCTATATTCTAAAATGATATTTAAAATACCTCTGTTAAACAAAATATGTCTGATTATGATTTATTTAAATAAATATCAGCTTAGCATTAAGCACTGGTTAAATTTAAACCAGAAATAATACCTAACATAGTAGAATCATGAGAAGATGAACCTCTGTATTTAACTCGAGAATTTCCATTGATAAAATTATCAAAATTTTCAATAACTTATTTTAAATATGGAGTTGAATATAATTTAGATTATTCCCAATTTTAAAATTATCTTAAACTAAAAGATAATAATGCAATCTAATCCATATAAAATAAAGTCTTTGCACTTAATTTTTAAGGTAAATTATCGCCATTATATCTATTGCATGTAAAAGTGTCTCTCCATTCAGCCAATTCAATAATATCATTAACTTATTTTTCTTCGATAAGACCTAACTCTGAATTAAATCTTTTGAATAACTCTTAAGTTTAGGTTGCTGAATTGATTTTATTATATAACTCGGTTTTTCTATTAGATTCAACAATAGAATCTGTTATTTTACAATAAATTGCTAAAGCATAATCTTATTCCTCTTATTTTGTATGAATTGGAATGAGTGAAATTTTATATGGTAGAGCATAATTCCCTATGTTAGGAGATTTGCTCCCAGGATTAGGAGGCAATAATTTATCTTCTGTTACATTTGGAATTTCGAAGCCTTATGGATACATTCCTTATAAATTACAATAAGCACTCATAATAGTTCTCAAATTGATAAATTTTATACCTATTATAGTCGGTGCTCTCTATATAAATTTCATTTTCATTAAAAAAGGAAGACAAAAGTTGATTATCAATTATGTATCTTTACCTGATCCATTTACCAAGAACATATTGTTATCTCATTCCTGCAGGGGTAAGAATTTATGCATCACCATTAGGTTTATTTTTTGAATTGCATCCCCAATTGCAATAGTAGAAATCCCTAACTCCATGTCTCCAGATAGCTTAAACATTGATGAGAGTATCATTTGATTTGACAAATGGAATATGAGCATAAAAAACAAATAAGAAAATATTCATTAAATAATTTTTGTCAAACTTTCGAATATAGTTATAAAATAGTATGTATTTATTCTAATAAAAATGAGAAAATCAGTATAGGGATTTAATAAAAGAGTAATAAGAATTAATCTATTTTAGATAATGAAATAATTAAAATTGATTAATGTAATATTTTGTATTGTATGTGTGTATTTTCAAGCTCTGTTTGGATAGAGGAATACTCTAAGGGTTGATCCAATAGCTCTTGGTGGGAGATTTCTACCAAAACGAGCAATCACTACTCCATTTGCTCCATGTGATCTACTTATACGTCCCCAAATTGTCTGAATAATATTAATTTATACTCTGAATTTTGTGTTACTCTTAAGTGTATGAGCTTTATAAATGTATGCAACTCTCTTCCCCCAATAGAATCTGCTTGAAGCAACATCTTCTACATGTTGAATTTTAAGCAATGCTTAATTCTCATTTTATTAAACCTTTGATCTTCTAAAACCTGTAAATGCAGCCTTAACCCATAATCTATATTTAGTATTTAACTCTACCTCACTGGTGCACTTTTATTGGTTGTCCTTACTTTCTTTACTGTTTTTGTTGCTTCCTTCTTTTAATCAGCTTGACCCTTCATTAATTAAAATCTTTGTTATTTTTTTATTTAAAAATTCAACCATAATATTCATAATATATATTGAGTTTATAGCAAATCTCATAAAATATACAGATTTATATATTTCATTCATTTAAAGAATTTTATATAGATGTTGCTGTTTAATAGGGGAATCGTTTTAGTGGTTCCATCTACAATTCACTATAATTTAAATCCTATTAAAGCCCAAGAAATATTTGATGTGATTTTTAAGACAATGCGTAATCATAATCTATTGAATAAACTTTTTCTCCCATTTCCTCTGCCTATATCTATTATTATGTAATATTGTCTCCAGAACCCAAATGATCACTTTTTGGTATTGATATATCATAAATCGGACAATTCAAACATTTATTGAAAATAGACTATAATACGTAACTATCTTATTCATTTGATATTATTCCACTACAAATTAAGATTTCTAAATATCTTTTATAATGCATCTTTATTTAACTCAATTCTTTTAAGTCTTCTTATTTCATTAAATTTATGCATATACAACATGAGATAAATGAAGATTACTATGTTATTCTCATTAAACTAACAAAATCATCTGAATCATATTGACTAAAACTTTTTAACTCTTTAACTAAAAATATTAAAGTGCAAAATAATTTTGCCTAATCAATATTATTAGAATTCCTACCCTCTATTCCTTTCTGATAAATTAGACATTTAAAAACATGTGTAATACCACTCCCTTATTAATACTTTGTAAAATTTATTAAAAATTCTGTATTTTCTACTGTTAAATTATACCCTTTATTTGGATTTATATTATTGCTCAACATCATATATTAAGATTTTTCAAAACCTGTCTTTTTCTAATCCCTCTATTTTAATACTATTCCATTTCTATTCTAACATTATCTAAGTATTTTCTTAATCCAAACCTAATTTTCAAACCTTTATATGAAAGCCTCATTCATTTTTGAACCCAATGAAAAAATCTCCTATATTGGATTTCCTTACAACTTTATTAAGAATGTAAGTTTATCAATTTCATTTGGTATCAATCTCATTAATTAAGAAACACACTCAATTACTTGTTATTTACCTTCATTAGAGTAATCAGGCATAAAAATAAATTGATCTATTATTGACAAACTTTTTTTTATAGAAAACTAATCTAATTTAATAAAATAACCTTTCCTATTATTAATTCTGGTTTCCAATACTATTTCAAAGATGAAGAATTTTATATATAATTTTCAATCTCAGGGTTTGGTGTTGATAAATAAATTATTAAATAAGATGCTTGAGATTCTATATATTAAATTAAACCTAAAGGAGGATTTTATGTTATTAATAGAACTACTTATCCATTCAATGCAGGAAGTGAATTATTATATAAATCATCAATCTCACATAATTTTTATTCATTAAATTTCACCACAAAAGGAAATTATGACTATTTTAAAATATTTATTGTACATCACTTCCTTAAATTATTCTAATTGGATCTTATATAGAAAAATATTCGTCATACTAACTAAATTTTGATATTATTTTCATAGTAGGTTATTAACTTTCATCAAAATTTGATACTTCCATCATATTTGTTATATATTATTATTCATTTTTTTCTCTAATACAAAATAATCTTTGTAGCCATCTTGTAAATGAACTTTTTTATGGTTATACTTAATATTGAATAGATTATCTAAATCATATAACAAATACTTAGCCAAAGTAGATTTTGTATAATGAGGGGCCGGACGACTCATTTTTTCAAATAATTATAATTTATTTATTCATTCTTAACTATTATAATTGAATTATAATCATTTAGAACTTATAAGCAAAATTATCTTATCATAAATTTATGTAAGTTTACTTAAATTTATTCTTATTGATAATTATATCTTACAATTGTTAATTTTAATTAAAAATTTTGAAAATAAGATTTAAAAAACTAATAATAGTTTGTAAATAAAACAAATGATAAAATAAATTAAATCAATCTAAATTTTTCCTTTTTTTTTAACTTACATGAAGAGCATTTAAATCAGCTTTGGTTGCAATATTCTGTTAAAGTAATTTATGATAATTTGATTAATTTCTCTAAATTATTCCTTCCAAGTATTATCATTTTCTGCCTCCTGTTGTATTTAATATTCTTTTTATTCTATTATTATTTATAGTGACTCTAATCTTAAATTTCTTTCTTTTAAAAAGGTCTCAAATAATAAATTATCTTTAGTTACTCTATCCAATATTGATAATACATGTTTATTCAAATTTCAAGGTGAATTATATTATCCTCAAAATCTACCAATGATTTAAGTTTAATTTCATTTATTTTATTTTATTGATCTTTTAATTAATACTCTAAATTAATAATATTGTTAGCTTTTTTTGTTTTGTTTAATCTTCCTTTTTTTCTATTTACATTTTAGATTTTCATTTATTTTTTTTAATTGTAATATTTAATTCGATTTTTTCCTATACAATTATTCTCAATCACGATTGTATTATATTATTATTAGTTCAATTAAAAAACAAAATAATTTTATATATCTATCATTTTCGAGTATTATTTGCAGATGCTATTCGAATACTTCTTGTATCTCTTACTGGGCGATTAGCATAAAGATAAAGATTCTCTTTTTAAAATCTTTTATTTATTTTTTCCACTTATTAACTTAATTAAAATTTTTAAAAAGGTACATTTGCTTTATTTTATATCTTCTTTTTTCAAAATTATAATTTTTATTGTTCAAATTATCTTATAGCCCATATTTTATTCAATTCAAAAAGAAGCAGTTAAATTTGTTTATCACCTAAATAATGTTTTTATATTTTTCTCTAAATTAATGAACCATTTCAAAAGCCTTTTAAGGAACCCAGAATACATATTTAGTTAAATCAGACTTTTATGTTTCTAATTAGCTTAAAAATTTTAAGTCTCTATGCTCAATAACGTTATAAGTCTTTAGTTATCACTTCTAAGTGCTCTACTTCAATTACAAATGTAGCTCTCACTCAACTTAAAACATTTACTTTCCATTTTTTTATTTAAACTTAATAATTATCATTTTTATCTTAAAGTATACTAATATGGTGATTTAATTTATGATTTTTTGATTGCAATTCTTATATTACTTTTTATAAATCTTCAACTTTTTACTAAAGAGCAAAAGATGCAGCCTAAAGTTCAGCTGTTTAATTTTATTATGATTCTATATAAATATTAGCTCTCTTTTTACTAGCTTAAAAATTCATAAATTTAAGTTGTTTTAAATAATAATAACTCAAAAATATATTTTAATTTTGTTAAGTTTCTATCTATCTCTCTTCTTTTCTTAATCGATATCATGATATTTACTAAAAGTTCTAACTTTATCATTGTATGCATCATCTCTCATTTTATTAATATCTTCAAGAATAGCGTGTTGATCATTTATTTGGTTTTTAAATTTATAATTCAACATATATTAGAATATTTATTCATCCATTTCTTTAATTACATCTAAAACCCTTAAAAAATGCTAAGAATAATATTATTATACATACTGTATAAGTTTTTTCAAGAATGTTAAACTTATGGTTTTACTTTTCTTAATAAATAGTATTACATTCTTTTATTATTTTTTCATTAATATTTTATTTGAGATCTTAGATAGTTCTCAATGCTTAATCATAAGAGTTAATTCCAAATTTCATACTTGATTGTTTTAAGGATTTTGCTATGTGACTAATTTAATTAATTACTTACACTTTTTATTCTAACAGATTTAAAATCTATTCATTTAATTAACCTTTATGTTTCATAATCTATCGATTTAATTTTAAGTAATCTTAATATTTTTATGCCTTCGTTTTTGTTGTCTTTATTATTGGAGACGATGGCAACATTGTTTTATTAAACTATTAATTTTATTTTTTTGGTGAGTATTATGTGAAGTTTCTTAAAGTTAAAGGACTTTTTGTTTCACTGTTATTTGAAATTGATTTATTGTTGAATGCATTACTTCTCTTTTTGTACAAAAAGAAAATATTTTTTATATAATGGTCATTATTTTAATGATACTAACTATTTTCGTGTTTAATTTTAGAAATCTATCAATTATATTAATATATGTATTACATTAATCTCTTCTTCCATTTTGTCTTTCATTTATTTCATTTTTAATCTTAATGTTAATGGTCTTACAATTTGATTAGCTTTTGTTGTAATCAATTCAAAGTATTCTTTACCACTTATTTAGAAATTCATGTTACCATTTAATACATTAAAGTACTCTTTATCCATTTTTTATAATAAAAATTATTTTTTTCATTTAATTTATAAAATTACATCATCATAATAAAATACAATCATATCAGTTTAATAAATTTTCTTCATTAACTATACTCCTAAAGTTTCTATAAAAGGAATCATCGAAAATCAATGTATGACGAGGAAATAAATAAACACTTTATTTCAAATATAAAAATTGCTTATAGTTGTATTTATCAATTTTAGTAAAATAGAAAATAGCTAAAATGATCTCAAAAATTAAATAGAAAATGCATAATAACTAAAATAATTGATTTAAAATTTACTTATTAATTTAAGATTAAAGTTTATGCTGAGTCTACTAAATTATTATAAAATTATTTTTTCATTATTTCAATAATATCTGTTAAAATTGTTGATCCTTCTAACTCTAACAATGTTGAAGCTGGTTAAACAGTAAAGTTTTTAGTATCTAATTATTAAACATTAACAGAATTCAATATATAAATTAATGTTTATTAGAATCCTTGCACTAAGTTACCTTACATTACTAAGGGGCAAAATGATTAAGTTTATTATTTTAATTCATCACTCTACAATTCACACAAATTTCCAGTATTTATATTACTAAAGAAATCAATTAAATATTCATCAAACAAATAATCACTGCTACTTAAATTTAGATTTTATTATTGATAAAATTATATAGATTTTAAAGCATTAAAAATAACTGCATAAGTCTAATCCAAATCTGTTTTGTTTAGAAAAGGATATCTTAGTGAAACTCTAAATAAAATTTCTTTTTGAGCATATACAGCTGGTATATCTACTCCTAAATCAGATAATTATTAATAAAACACTGCTGTTTTTTCATACTTTATTAAATACATTCTAAAAGTCATAAATAAATATATGCTAAATGTTGCAAATAGTAAAAAATGACTGATACTTAAAGTAAGCCCTAAAATAGGTTTATTATGGATAAGTTTAGTATTTGATTTTTTTGAAAAAAAGGATTTATATTTTATGTTTGATTATTCTAATTAATTATCAATTGAATCAATATCAATTGAAAAAGTTTTTATAACATCCATATCTTAATTAACTATTGATTATAAATAAGATAATCTTAATTTTTCTTGCTCTAAAATATTTAAATCTATTGATGATATATATTTCATAATTGCATTTTTCTCATTACTATGCTTTATTTATTATAAAATAATTAATAAAGTAATTAAAAAATTCAAACCTAAAAAGGGAAAATATGCAAATATCCATTTTTTTTTCTCTTGAAAAGATCTCTCAAGTGTTATATCTAATATAACTACATTTAAATGATCAAACATAGACTTTACTATTTAATAATCCTTATAAGTAAAATAAAAATAAGGATTATCAAAGCCTCCTCCAAGTCCATCTAAATGTAATTTAAAATCATATTAATAATTTAAAGTAATAATTATAACTGATCGTTTACTCACATTATATTCTTTTCCAGTATTATTAGTTCCAACATATAACATTATTGGTATATTAGTTATATTTGATATCTTATCAATTTCACTTCTTAAAAGTACATCTCCCATGCTTTTTTTCATTTTGTCAAATGATTGCATTAAATTATTTCTTGGAAAAATTTGTAATTATGCAGCGTAAGTAGAGTTTATTACTTTTCTACTAAGCATTTCTCTATAATTGATCTAATTAAATCTTGATACTGAGAATGACTCTAATGGCCCAGTTACATCATATCTAACAGAAAGCAATTTCATATCGGATATAAAACTACGAATATTCATTATTAAACTTAAGTTCTATTTTAATCATAAATAATTACAATTATTACATAAATTTAAATTAAAATTATGAATAGAATAAAATTAATATTAGCTTTGATTAATTTTGAAGAACTTTTCAAAGATTTACATAATGAGTATATAATTTCAAATTTTTTGTAAAATTTTGATTTTTTAATCATAGTAATTGAAGATCCAGAAACAAAATCTCTAACATCATTTTAAAAAATTATATTTTTTTTCTTTAAGAATTCTTCATTCATAGATTCTTTTGGACTAAATAATTTGTTATGGGCTTAAAATTACTACTATTAAATTGGATTAATTTGCTCTTGATCAACTAATAAATCAGTCATATAGAGTTTAGATTCTATATGTTGAGTTTCACTTTGATTTAGAGGATTTGCTTTTTTTATTAAAGATATATCAAATATTTCTTAATAAGGCAAAGCTTTTTCAATATCCTCATCAATGTCATCTTTAATTCTTTCTAACTTTAAAATAATTTATTAGTCATGAGTTTATTATCTATAAAATATGCTAGTTTCTAATTTAGAATCCATTTGATTTCTGTTATTTTATGCTCTAATATTATCTAAAGTTATCATATAACACATATTTTCATTTTTAAATTTTTTTTCGATTATGATATTACTAATATAATCTAAGTATCTTTAACCTGCTTATTTGCCATTTGAACTTAGAAGCTTTATGCTTTGGTTAAAGAAATTCTTTTCATTAGATTAGATCATTGAATCAAAATCACTTATGATATTGAAAATAGGTCCTAGACTTTTTGAAGAAATAAAACTGTTTGAATATTAACTATTTCCTAAAATTTAAAGACTAATATTTTCACTGCAATTAATAATATCAAGAGATTAACTTACAACTAAATAAGATCTATAATCTATTTATTCATAAAAAAAAATAAGAAATGAAAAAGCTTAAGTGCTGCTTTAATTTAGACCAATCATCATTTCTATTGGTAGCATTATTTTATCACAAAGTTTAAGAAATGAAAGATTCTATTGCTAATAATATTTATTTATTCCTTCATCAAAAAACTATTCAATAAGTGTTCTATGCTATTTGTAAACATATTCAGGAATAAAATCATGAACACTAATTTCCATTTAATTTTTCCATTTCTATCCATAAATTTATTAGAATTTTTTTATAGCTTTTTTAGACTATCTAACAATTATAACATCAAGATCTTTATTTATCTCAGCAACTATATATGATGGATTTTAACCAAACATTTTATTATAGACAGAATCATGAAAAAGTTAATAATTCTCATCATTCAGTGCTTTATTTTTATTTAAATCAAAAGCTTCAATATAATCATTCAAAACTTCTAATAGATAAAATTTTAACACATTTTGATTGCTAGAAGCTAAATAAAACAATATTTTAATACTTGGAAATTTTTAATACCTTTCAATTAATTCTATTCGAAATTATTATAATTAAGTTATAATTTTAATTGGATAATTTATATCTCCTTGAAATTTATTTGAATGTTCAATAAAATAATAATAAAATAAACTTTTATCTTAGATTGTCTTTTTTAACTTCATCTATATATACTAATCACTACTTTCATTTATTGAAAATTATTTTAAAGAATCTGCTATTAATTTATTATTTGGATTAGTAAGAATCATTCTTTCCATCATTTAAATAAGAACATCATTCTCTATTTAATATTTTAAAAAGTCTAAAAGACAAAGAGTAGTCAAAGATAAATTAAATGAATTATATTTAATTTAATAATTATCTTTAGTATAAGCTACTCTAAATATAACTTATTAAGCCTTAACATATTACCTTCTTCTAAAAAGTATCTAAGATAAATCAAGCGTCATTTATTCAATCTTCTTTGTCCTTTGTTCTAAAAATAACTCTAACCTCATTTCAATAAGTTATAGTATTTTTTATTTAATATTAATCTAATTCTTACAAATACAGTCAATTTTTAAGCAATTTTATTGATGCTCAAAAGCTATCAGAGTCATTGTAAACCTGTTCTTCTACATATTCCCATCTAGATTCTCTACATAAGAGAAAAGATACTTTAATTATTTTAAATCTTCTGTTTATAATGATAAATGCGATCTTTTGTAAAAAAACTATAGAATATATATGATTATGAGAGATATTAATAGCCATAAATTATCATTTATTCTATTTTACCTTATAAGAGCTTCAATTGCTATAACTATTCCAAATGATGCAATAATAAGAGAGGTCATTGCACATTTCATTTTTGCGTATATTTTTGATTCTAAAATTTAGTAAATATGCAAAGTTTGTATTAAAATAATCAAAAAATTTTGAAATAATAAGCATAATTTCTGATTATTTAAGAAAAAAAATATAATTATTTAAAATATTCTTAATGGTTTTATAAAAAATTTTATGTAACTGTTATTTAATGGTAATTAAGTAGATACTCTTAATATTAATCCACTTTAAAATACTATATCTGAAAATATAACTATAAGTGCGACTTCTATGATCATTATTATTCCTAAAATTATTCCATAAAATTATAATATATTCATCATACATATTTCTATTAACCACGAAAAAAAGGTTGATGAAACCAAATAGTAATAATTACAAATATATTACAGCATCATATTTGATATTTTGATTTCATGGAATTATTGATTCTTAGATTTTATTATTAGGTATATCGTAAATATTATTGTTAGTTATTGGATCGCAAAACAAATACTGAAAAGAAAAATTTTTTATGTTTCATTAACAATAAATAAATAAGGCCTTGATAAAATAAGCAGTGATTAGAGTGTCGGTTCAAATTATTTTTATGAATTGTATATATGATAAAAGTTAAAGGCAATTGGTTACACCTAATTTAAAATTATGAGGATCATTTATATTATCTAAGGTTAAGTAAATTCAAATTTTAAAAATTGCGAGAGCAAGAAAATCAATTCTTTATAATAAGGTTCAAATAATTTGAGCATTCTGCTTATTTTAAATAAATATTTATTAGATATTATAAATCTAACTTTTATCAAAATATTACTATTTAAAAAGCTTCCAATTAATACTAGAATACTTTTAGTTTATTAAGAATATAAATTTGACAACTCAAATTTTAGATTGAAAAATTTTTAATTTATGGTAATGGTTAGATTAGTTAATAATAATTTAGAAAACTTAGATTTATTATAAGATATAATAACATATAAAGACTATAATGTATAGCTCTTCATGGTAAACTTAAGAATAGTTTCAAATTTTAGTAAATAACTTTCTTGTTTGAAAATAAAATTAACAAAATTATTTGATACTAAATGAAAGATAATATTTATTAATCTTTATAACAGCAAATTTATTATCCTAAAACTCATTCTATAATTTATCAGTTATTTCAAATTACATCAAAATGTGCACTTTTTGGTATATTTCTTTAAGGTTAATATTTATTTTAAAGAACTTAGGATTTCAGACTTTACAATTATAAATTTGTTATAAAAACATTTTATATAAATCTCCTTATAAAGTTGGCAGATTTTTGAAAAGCATTTTTTTTATAATTTTCTTTTTTATAATACCCTACTGATATTTTTTAGATTGTCCATTTTTTGTTTAATATTTACTTATTTGTTAATTTGATCATGAGAGAAAAATAAGATATGATAATAAAGAAATTTTTAAACAATGCATCATAAAACAATGATTTTTAACATATAATTTATATCTGTATGAAGAAATAAAAATTTGATATTAAAGAATATGTTACAGAATTAAAAAAATAAGATAGTTCTTAAGACTAAATTGCTCACTAAAATAAGAAATTACTCAAGAAATCATTGAATAAGTGTTTAACCAGTTTGTATTAAAATTTAATATTCATTAGAGAAATTTTAAAATTTAAACAATATAAATTTATTTTTTATTTTCATAAGTAAAATTTTAAGTATATGAAACATAAATTTATTACTAGGTGTTCTTAATTCGATTATTGCTTAGAATTATTTTGTGTTTTATATCTTAGAAAGATTTTAACATTATTATTTAACTTGTGTTAAAATACTAAAATGAACTATTGAGAATTAAAATAAAAAAATGAAAGATTATAATTGGCCTTGTAAATATATTAGAAACAACAAAAGCTCAGGTTATTTAAGATTTTTATATATTTTAGTTATTGAAATCTATTCAATAATTGAAGTTAGATAAAACTTCAAATACATAAAAATAATAAAATATAAATGAATCAAAAGGAAGGATTGTCAGTATCATTGTAAAAATTCCATCGAAAAAGTGCATAATCTACTTCTGATGATTCTTAGATGGCTCTTCCTGAATTAAAAGGTAGAAGTCTTAAAAGTGCTACAACAAAGCTTCAGAATAATAAACCTTTGCAGACTCCTTTAGGATACTATATAAATGATAGTGCTTAATAAAGAGTAAAAGTTATACAATTATTAGAAAAGAAGTGAAAATCATTCTGAGTAAACATGTATTGAAACTTATTTAGAAGCACTATAACGATATGCTTAAGAAGAGAAAAAGAAGAAACAAATTCAAACCTTATAAATAAATAGTTTTCCAATATTACCTGGTTAGGTTTTGAGAGAGAGGATAAAAAAATATGCAGAAATATAATAGAGAGAAGTCTCAAGTAAATAAAATTTTAATATAAGAGTATTTTGTAAGAAAAGAATAACAGCCAAAATAACCTATTTCAACAACATTAAATTTAAAGAGTTAAAAGAGCATTGTTAGCCAAGGAAATAAAACCGATGTCATGTCAATTTCATTACCTATAAGTTCTAAAATAAAACACAAGGTTAGTTCTAAGAAATGGGCAATATTTAAAAGAAATAAAGATGAAACAAAGTTTTAAAAAATATACGCTTATTAAGATCAATAAAAGAGTGAAGTAGCATCAATTACAAAAGTGATGACTTGTTATACAACTTTGAAATTTTTAGAAGAAAAGCGAATTGATATGGAATCCATAAGAATTAAAATTCCTGGACATGCTGAATGTATAGATGGTACTAGTGCCTTTCTAAATGCAGGAGGAATAATGAATGTAAGATAATTATTATTTGCAATGATGTTACCATCAGGAAATGATGCAGCATTAGTGTTAAGTTACTCAATAGCATTTTTAAAAACTTGTGATAATATTTAAAGATATTGCAATGGACATTATATAGATTGTGAATTAGAAATTGAAAAAAATAAATTTTAATTAAGAACATAATTCTTGTAGATGATGAATAATCACGCATAAAATTTGAAAATGGATAAAACTAATTACAATTCAGTTCATGGATTAAATGATACTTTGAATGTCTCTTGTGCATTAGATATCTTTAAATTAGTTGAAGAATGCATTAAAATTAAAGAATTTATGGATATTGTTAATACAAGATGTTTTAAAACATATGCTCTTACTAATTAAGGAAAATAAGGAACTTATTATAAATGGAAAAATACAAATAAATTATTAAAAAAAGAAGGATGGGAAGGTATTAAAACTGGAATTACATCAAATGCTGGTCCATGTTTTAGTGGATACTATAAGACTGATGATTTTGATGCAATTGTGATAGTCTTACAAAGTTCCAATATGCTTTAAAGATTTAAAGATGCTGAAATTCTAATAAAGTTATTGTGAAACATTTTATTCAAAATTTTGGATGTGGGATCTTTAAATTTACCCCAATCTTTACAAAATCATTTTTGTACATAGCTAATTTTGCTTCTCTTATTCCTTTGCCAATACTAAAAGAAGGCTTATTTGGCTTAGTAGAAACCACTTAAGCTCCTAGACTTTCTCTTAATTTATAGAATAATATTATACTGCACATAATATGTCTAATTTTTATCAATATTCTTTTATTGAGGTATTTTAGGAGCTTTTGTAAATGAATATTTTGGTTATTCTTTTAATTCTGTTGAGAAATCTTTTTTTGGTTTGTAAGTTCCAGGTCCAACTGTATTAGGAGTTGAAAAAGAAATAGAATGAGCTCTCCTATTACCCATAGTATATTTTGGGCCTTATACTCTTTAAGTTACATCATAATTGGGACCAGGAGTTTTAATAAGTTCTTTTTATAAAAATCGTTGCTCTAATCCAAATCTTACTGTTCCTGCAGACCATTTACGAAGATGATCAGCTTTTTAAGGTTCAAACTATATGATATCTAATTAACATACATCCTCATCTTTTCTTTTATAATAATCATAATGATTTGAATTTAAACTCTATCTTGTTGATGTACCTAATCTTGCGCTTGGAACTCTAGTAGCTTAATATTAAAAGTTATTTGTTGGATTATAAATTGGACCTGGACTATGTTTGCCTTTTTCCATAAGTCTGTTTTCTCTATATACTTATTATGCTTAATATCTATTAGAAGTTCCAAAACCAAATGCAGGAACATTTGGAATTGTTGACAATAATTCTATATTCAAATTATCATCTTACTCTTTCCAAAAGAGGAATTTCTATTGTGATTTTCAAATTCTATCAAATCCTTTGGACTATGTGATGCTTTACTCATTAATGTTAATTTTAATATTAAACTAGTAATTGTTGTTTATTTAATGTAATATCAATATTTCTTTGTATTAAGAACTCAGAATTATTAAATGCATTTTTATAATGAATAAAAGAATTTAGAAAGAAACTAAAAGTTTTATAAAAACCCTCAAATCCATACTTGAAGTATATGCATCAATAATTTACTATTTAGAAAGAGGAGTACTCTTCTATCATCTAATATACTTAAGAAAATGATGGTTTTATTATTTTAGATTAAACATCTTTAGAAAAAATTATATTGCCTAGACATTATAAAATCAAAAATTTTGATAGTTTTAGAAGGTATTCAAAATATACAATTAGATCTTTAAATATTTATGGCTTTTAAGCCAAAAAAAATAAAAATGGAAAAAAGTTCTATTTTAATAAGGATAGCAATTTTAGTAATGAAACTTTTATCAAAAGAGTACCTAAAAAATTCATTCAAGATAATCTTGATCTTTTAGATTAAACTAATTTATAACTATATCTTTAGCTTATGGAAGTTAAATAATAGTAGGACTCTATATAGTTACAAATATAAAAAGTACTCTAATTATAACATTTAATTTCAAATCAAATGAAAACCTTATTAATAGTATTAATTGTAAATTAATTTAAGCGCTATTCAAAAGGAGCAATTTATGAAATGGCTTTAGTGTAATAATTTCCAAAATGCTTTTATTTGTTCTTTCAATCCTTACAAAACTAATAATATAGTAAATTAAATTTAACAATTAGAAAAACATATAAGAAAATCAATTGAGTTGGCTACTAAATAAATTCATAAGGTTTAAAATCCTGATATTGGATTATAGAACACTAATAATATCTGTTAATTACTATGTAAACACTTATAATAATTTTAATTAAATTTATCTTTTAATATTTCACTATTTCTAAATAATTTAGATAGACCAGAAGAAATTGAATATTCTTTAAACGAAAATGAAAGCAATTTTAGCAACTATTTTTGTTTAAATTCAAAATAATACAATTCACAAGCGTGAAAAATATTTTAATTTATGAAAATAATAAACTAACTTATAATCAATAAAAATAAATAATACTTTTCATGATTAATGTTTTTTTAATTATTGTTTAATCTCATAAATTTAATTTCTTAGTTCTTTATTTTAATTTATTATATCATTTAAGTCTTAATCTTCTTTCAATTTCATTTCATATTCCTTTAACATCTCTAACTCTATTTCATACTTTTTTTTTTCAACTAATGCAATTTCAGCTTATTTTCTTATAATATTCATTTTATCATTTAAGCGTGATTTCGATTTTTCATACCATTAAAGAAATGTTTATTAAAATGTATTAAGCATAATTTCAGAATTTTCAATAGACATTTATTAGCAATCTGCATCATACAATAACACATATTTTATATAATTATTTAGACTTTAAATTAAACTTACAGTAGCTACATAAGTTTCTTATTGATAGTATTTTAAAGCTTCTAAGCCATGTTGTACATCACTTTTATAAATTTTATAATTTTAAAGATCATCTATCAATTAAGATAGTACAGTTTTTAGATTATTTTCAATAAACTCATTATCAACTGTTAATTCTTTAGATTTTTTTTCCAAATATTCTGGAATGAAATGTTTAATAATTTCATTGAGTTTTAGAAAAGCTTAATTAATAGTTACATCATCATTTCCCATAAATTTTGTGTCAATATTAAATTAATTCAGAAATGAATCTGAAAAGTTACACAATTTTAGCCATTATTCTTTTTTTTCTTCTAAAAGAACTCTTCGATAAATTTTAATTATTATCTCTCGTTAACTTGGTTAAATTTTCTTATTCAAAATAAATTCAAGTAATTCTTTTAAAAGCATTTTTTACTTTGATTTTAAATCTTATTATTGATTTGTAACATTGTCTTTAAGATCATAATAATAACCTCTATCTATTACTTCTTAATTTATTGGAAAAAGAATTGGTTTCAGCATTTGTTGTTTTTGAATTTAAATTATAATAGTTGAAAATAGAAATTTATAAATTAAAATCAAATTTTTTTAGGAATCAACTTATGAGAATATCTGGGTTTTGCAAATTAACTATAAAGGATACATTAATTTGTCAAAATAGAATATCTATTAAGTTTTTTAAATAAATACCTCCAAATATTAGAACTAGGAATATTTTCTTAAGTTTTTCCTCCAACTAAATACACAAATTAATAATCATCACTTACTATTGCATCAAATTTAATGACAGGACATATTAATTCTCCCATTTAATAAAATTATTAATCGGTTTCATCATATTTTTCAATTTATTTAATATACTTTGTACCAGATCTTCCTCCAAAAATCCATATTCCATCTGGAAGAGTTAAAGAAACATGACTTCTTCTTGGATAATTTGGAGAGTTGATTTTTTTCCATAGATTATTTGTCATATCATATTTGAAACATCCTTATTCATCAAATATATACATAGAGTTGTGTTCATTACCTTAAATTAAGGTGTGATTATAACATTTAATTGGAATTGATAATAAATTTTTAGTTTAATAAGTATCCAAATTTATGAGTTAAAATATATCCTACACTCCTTAATCTGTTTTACCTCCTGAAATATATAATTTATTTCCTATTTATTTTGATGCCAATCCACTGACTCCTTTTGTAAGTATTAATTAAGATATTTTAGATGATTTTAAATTTGGATCATATGATTCACATAAAGCAGTTCTAATTCCTTCTTATTTCCCTCCTATCAATAGAATTTGATTTCCATTATATGCAATTTAAAATCCATAACGATTTGACACTAAGAAATCATGTTAAATTGATTGTTTTGATGATAAATCTACCAGTTCTATAAGATTCTATCTTTGTCCCTTCAATAATCCACCAATAATATAAAATTATGTTTGATTTTAAATTGGTATTTCCAATTGAGAAATTGAATGTTCACTTAACGATTATTTATTACTAAAGAAATCATTAATGATCGATTATTCAGGAGATGCTTTATCTAAAATTGAACTTAAATCTGTTGGTATATCTAAAGTTATTTACTTAACCTCTGTCTTTCGCATTTACTATTTTGATGATTATAAACTAAAATGAGGTGAACTATGTTAAGTAAAGCCTTTTTTAGAAAATGGACTTGCTCTTGTTGTATTTGGTTATTAAAATAATTTTGATGATACTCGTTTTATTCTATAATCTTAATCTCTTTCTAGAATATTCATAATATTAGTGATTTATCTTACAATATCTGAAGCATTTCTAATCTATAATTACTAATATTAAATTTTAGGAGCTTGTGATAAATTATCATATTCATTTTCAAGCTCTTTTATAGTCTTACAATTTATAGTATAATATTCTCTAAACTTTTTTAATTACTCATATCCAGATGTGTTTTATTAATTAATAATATTCTTTTCTAACTAAATACCTCTTGCCTTATATTCATCAATTATGCACTTTTATAATAATTATGTGTACTTTTGAATCCTATAAATATTGTAGGTGTTTCATTTTATGTATTTCAACTTATTCAATAAGTTCTTAAAATTTCATTTATACAATTTCCAAAATTTGAGTGCAAATGGAATTTAATGATTAAATTTGAATTTATGTCATTTTATTTATCTGATTATTTTCTTTTTAAATTTGATCATCAAGATTATTGTAGTTTTTAATGATTTTTTGAACTTTCTGCAATTGTTATTTATTTTATTAACTTATGTTATTAAGAGCCTAAATTTTAGTAAGTAATTTACTTTTTCAATTGAAATAATATTTTGTACTTTTAAACTACATTTGATCATACATTCTTAACACAGTAATTATTGAGTAGTTGTACAGTAATCTAATCAATTAATAAAGGATATTAGTTTACTAGTATAAATTAATAAATGTTTTGGACAATTAAATTGATCAATTTCATCTCCAGAAAAGCATTCTTCCTCAGTGTCCATCTTGAAACCAAATTAATATTTTATATAATAACAAAATACTTCAAAAATAAAGGAAAAATAATTAATTTATTTTAAATGATTAAAACAATAAAATTGCCAGATTTGCAAGACTTAATGAAAATGGTTAGTTGATTTTATATTTGCATTCTTTAAATGCATATTATTTTTTATTCTGTTTCTAGTCTATTTATTTATCTAACTGGTAGTAGTATATTAATTTATTGATTATGAAATAGTGGATTAATAAAATAATTTATGTAAAATTTTCATAAATACAAATTATTATTTAAATCATCCTAATTGAAAATGATCCTGCACAACAATACTTTTTTTCTTATTTTTACTTAATTTTTTTAATTTTTTCTTCAAATTTAGAAATATTTTATATATTTCATCTTAATGTAAATAGAATCTTCCATTTTTTAAATTAACTACATTAAATTATTGTAAAAATTTAATTATTTGACTTTATTTTGGTTAAGATTTGACAATTGAATTTGAGAAATAATGTTTTATAGATTAAAAATAAGCATATATCGAGAAGATCAAACACAACATAAATAAAATATTGTCTCTCAAATTAGAATTACTCATCATTTTATATTGAAAAATTAAATTTGTTTAAAATAAGTTGAGACNGAGTAGTTGTACAGTAATCTAATCAATTAATAAAGGATATTAGTTTACTAGTATAAATTAATAAATGTTTTGGACAATTAAATTGATCAATTTCATCTCCAGAAAAGCATTCTTCCTCAGTGTCCATCTTGAAACCAAATTAATATTTTATATAATAACAAAATACTTCAAAAATAAAGGAAAAATAATTAATTTATTTTAAATGATTAAAACAATAAAATTGCCAGATTTGCAAGACTTAATGAAAATGGTTAGTTGATTTTATATTTGCATTCTTTAAATGCATATTATTTTTTATTCTGTTTCTAGTCTATTTATTTATCTAACTGGTAGTAGTATATTAATTTATTGATTATGAAATAGTGGATTAATAAAATAATTTATGTAAAATTTTCATAAATACAAATTATTATTTAAATCATCCTAATTGAAAATGATCCTGCACAACAATACTTTTTTTCTTATTTTTACTTAATTTTTTTAATTTTTTCTTCAAATTTAGAAATATTTTATATATTTCATCTTAATGTAAATAGAATCTTCCATTTTTTAAATTAACTACATTAAATTATTGTAAAAATTTAATTATTTGACTTTATTTTGGTTAAGATTTGACAATTGAATTTGAGAAATAATGTTTTATAGATTAAAAATAAGCATATATCGAGAAGATCAAACACAACATAAATAAAATATTGTCTCTCAAATTAGAATTACTCATCATTTTATATTGAAAAATTAAATTTGTTTAAAATAAGTTGAGACCTAAAAAAAGGTAGCTTTGTAATTATTCCTAGAATTTTTCAACTCTAATAGGTATTGAATGTTTAATAAATATATATTTATCTATTAAATATATCAAGATCAATGAAATAGCTGAAGATAGAATCATAAAAGGATAAAATAATGCTGTAGCGAGGCATAAACAATATAATTTGTAAATTGTAAATCTTCTTTAATCAATTTAAAATTCTCTTTTTTCAAATAATTTGTTTGCTTCTATTTATGTTATATTGCTAAAGTTTTTTCGTTTTTCTTTTATATATTTAATAAATTTCCATAAATATTTGATATCAATAATGGAAGTTAATGCAGGTATAAAAATATTTAAGTAAGAAATAGTGATTTGATTATCTACTAACCCTTCTTTCTATAACATCCATCTTGAAGATTATAATTCTGTGTAATAATTAAACGGATTCAAGCAATCAGTCCATTCTGTAAAATGTCCGGATAAAGCTAAATCTATAAATACAAATAATTAAAACTATTTATAAAAATTGATTTTTACATTTTAATGCACCATTAAGGATCCATTCTTACAAATATAATCACTTAATTTCAATATTAATATTTAAGTAATACCAAATAAACCTTTTATGATACCCTAAGTAATTTTAAGATCTTCTCTATCAAAGTAGATTGTAATTAATTTTAATCTAAAAAACATTGTTAGTGTTATCAATACTCTAGGTAAATAATAAGAAAATATTAAGTTGAAAATTATAAACCATATAGCCTATATTTGTTTTTTTTAAGTGTCTTAATATTCATAGTTCTAAACTTCTTAATTGTATCTATTGCAAATTGTATATACCTCCCCTTTTATTTAAACTAATTTATCCATCAATACAATCCTCCCTATTATACATTCTTCTAACAAAGTATCATTTTATAGTAATTACATTAAGATTTTTTTTTTCCATTTATTACTAAAAATAAATAATTAAAATTTACTCTTTATCATATATTCTTGAATATTGAACCTTTAATTCTTCAAATAAAGATTTTTCATATTTCTTCTAATCAAACACTATATATTCAAAAAGATTTGGTTATCTATTTTTCATATATTTAATTATATTTTAATGGATAGTTTTAGGAAAATAAAGACATACTTATTTTAAATACTCAAACATTGCTGCAGTTTAAATTCTTTTGGCAGCTTTTTTATTATTGAAAAATATAAAATGAACTATTTGCAGTATTAGAAATGTAATATGAACAAAATAACTATATTTTTAATCATCTAAAGAATAATAGTCGGGAATAAGATTCCATACAGAATAAATTTTATTTGTATTTGTATCACAATCTTAAATTTTCTCACATTAATTTCCATTACTATAAGTTATCAAACAATAAGGAACAAGCAAGATACTAGTCATATTTATTTTCATTACCCAATAATCAATAACTAATAAATACAATACTTTATCAATTCAAAATATTCACCTATTGAACTATGATGATGATAATATTTTCTGCCTTCAAAAAAAGTATACTTGATGTGATCTTTGTAAAAATGGCAACAAAAACACTATTAAGAATTTGAAAGAGGTGTTTTATGAACTGTATATGCTTGCTAAAAATAGTTGTTATAAAACATACTCTGTGTAATTATGCTTTTTCCAAATCAGGAGGAATCTTTAAATAGTTATAAGCTAAGTCAGAATCTTCAAAGGACATAAATTTTGTTTCAAACCCATCCTCTTGATCTATCTCTAATTGTTAAATTATATTCATAATTAAGAAAATAAAATATAGTAATCATAAACCACTATTTTTTCTATTATTTTTTTTTAAACACATATCATGCAAATTTAATAAAGTTAATCTACTAAATTGTTATTTGATTTGAAATAAAATTTTCAATAATATTTAAATGCTTTTATCCTCAATTTTAGGTTGGGTTCTGATTTCTTATGATTTTGATTAATTAATAGAAAAAAAAATATATATATTTTTTACTTCATCTTTCTTTATTTTCGTAATTAAATAAACTAGTTGTAAAATCTGATGCTTAGCAACTGGTATAATTAAGATTAGTATAAGTANCCCCTTTTATTTAAACTAATTTATCCATCAATACAATCCTCCCTATTATACATTCTTCTAACAAAGTATCATTTTATAGTAATTACATTAAGATTTTTTTTTTCCATTTATTACTAAAAATAAATAATTAAAATTTACTCTTTATCATATATTCTTGAATATTGAACCTTTAATTCTTCAAATAAAGATTTTTCATATTTCTTCTAATCAAACACTATATATTCAAAAAGATTTGGTTATCTATTTTTCATATATTTAATTATATTTTAATGGATAGTTTTAGGAAAATAAAGACATACTTATTTTAAATACTCAAACATTGCTGCAGTTTAAATTCTTTTGGCAGCTTTTTTATTATTGAAAAATATAAAATGAACTATTTGCAGTATTAGAAATGTAATATGAACAAAATAACTATATTTTTAATCATCTAAAGAATAATAGTCGGGAATAAGATTCCATACAGAATAAATTTTATTTGTATTTGTATCACAATCTTAAATTTTCTCACATTAATTTCCATTACTATAAGTTATCAAACAATAAGGAACAAGCAAGATACTAGTCATATTTATTTTCATTACCCAATAATCAATAACTAATAAATACAATACTTTATCAATTCAAAATATTCACCTATTGAACTATGATGATGATAATATTTTCTGCCTTCAAAAAAAGTATACTTGATGTGATCTTTGTAAAAATGGCAACAAAAACACTATTAAGAATTTGAAAGAGGTGTTTTATGAACTGTATATGCTTGCTAAAAATAGTTGTTATAAAACATACTCTGTGTAATTATGCTTTTTCCAAATCAGGAGGAATCTTTAAATAGTTATAAGCTAAGTCAGAATCTTCAAAGGACATAAATTTTGTTTCAAACCCATCCTCTTGATCTATCTCTAATTGTTAAATTATATTCATAATTAAGAAAATAAAATATAGTAATCATAAACCACTATTTTTTCTATTATTTTTTTTTAAACACATATCATGCAAATTTAATAAAGTTAATCTACTAAATTGTTATTTGATTTGAAATAAAATTTTCAATAATATTTAAATGCTTTTATCCTCAATTTTAGGTTGGGTTCTGATTTCTTATGATTTTGATTAATTAATAGAAAAAAAAATATATATATTTTTTACTTCATCTTTCTTTATTTTCGTAATTAAATAAACTAGTTGTAAAATCTGATGCTTAGCAACTGGTATAATTAAGATTAGTATAAGTACATTGAATGTAAATAGCAATTAATTGATATTTATTGTACAAAAATTATTTTAATTTGAGATAGATATAAAAAAAATGTTAATCAAAAACTTTAAAACTTCCTTACTTCGAACTATTTAGTTTCTGGTCCAAAAGTGGCTAGGTATTCTCCATCTTCAGATAATGAATGATCAATTCCCGCTTTAATCATTTGGGTTACTTAAAGTTCGCCATTTTATATTTTTTTTAAATCTAATAGCATGGTATACTTTCCTTATTTGGTAATTAATATGAATTTTTATCTATTAAAAATTAACTTTTTAGTAGGAGAATGAAATTGTAAATTAACATTTTTAGTTTAAAAACTTAATTATTAATTAACAAATAATCGAAACTTCAGAAGTATCTAGATAGTATTTTCAGGTGTTATTTTACAGATTCTTATTTTTTAAGAACCTACTTTAAGAAAAAATTGATCGTTATTAAGAAATGTTAAAAAACTTATGTGACTCTCAATTTTATAGCTATGGACTAAAGACCATTATTCATTATCCAATTTAATTACAAGGTAGATTAAAGGCTTATTATCTTTTACATAGATTATTTTGGTTTCTGATTAATCTATGCATAATTAACTTACTTAATTTTCAGTCTTAATCTCTTGTAATTTTTCCCATTATTTTTTCTTTTAAAAGAAGACAATAGAATTTTATCCTCCAGTGACAATTAATCTATCTTCATAACCTAAAGCCAAAATATAACAAAGAGCTGAGATTTATGAATCAAGGTGAAATTTATTATTTTTTGAATCACATATCCAAAATTCTAGGGTATGATCAGTATACACTACTATAAATTAATTTGTTTTTCTCATAAAATAAACTTATGAACAAGATTTGAATATAAGCCAAATAGATTAAAAAAATTCAAAACTTGACTATTTTCTCTAATATATTGAGATAGATTTTTTAAATCCAATTACCAGAAAAGAACCATCATTATTAATTGCCATTGATTCATGTTATTTAAAAAAAAGAATTTGTGTAAATTGCTTATATTCCCAATTTCTTTTAGAATTAATCTTATTTCTTACTTAAATTTTCATTTAAGATTACTTAAAGTTTAGATAAGATATGTCAAATCTGATTAATATCAATTTATTTCCATCTTCACTTACTTTGCGGACTTCAAAACTTTGAGGATTAAGATCATAGAAGTGAAGTTTAAAAAATTTTAGGTTACTAAATATTTATTCTTCTTGATATGATTAAATTTTTTTTTCAATTATATATTTTTTCTCTTAATTTTAATTAGATTCTAATTGTAATTTAAGGAAGTAATTAGATTTGTTAATTTGAAATAATAATTTGGAAGAATCAACAATGAAATAATTTTTTTTTAGTTTTTCAGAGAAATCAATTATTTAATATATTTCCCATGTTTATTAAAAATTCAACTAATACATCTCCATTCTTGTCCAATTATTATTTATTTGAACTGTTATTAAAATGTCATGAGGATGATGGATGATACATTTACTACCACTTTAAAAATTTTCTTTTTTTATTTAATTCTAAAATTTCCATTATAATTCTGTTTTTCTCCAAAATTCTAATTCGCAATTTCCATTACCAATCAATTAGTCTTCCCTTTGATTAAGCAAAAGTTCATGAGAAGCCTTAAAATGAAATGATTGTAATTTTTTAATATTACCAACAAGAGTAAAAAGCTAGATATTTTATTTTTTGAAATAAGGAAATGAAATGATGAATATATTATTAGTTTATTTAGTAAATAACATCTTTTTTATAGAAGTATCTGTTCCCAGATTGTACATTTTAATAAAAGCTAAATTAGGTATATAAACAATAGTTAATGAATAAAAAGCTTAGGTAGAGAAATAAAGAGAGTTTTTAAGAGTAATATCAAAATTTGCGTTTGAATTTTTAATAACTTTCTGTTGAATGGGTTTTGTGGCAAATTAAGTTTAATGGCAATAATCAGACATTTAAAGAATTAATATATAAAAGTAAAATGAAAATAATTAGAGAAGAGTATGTATATATAATAATCTATATTATACAAGAAAGGTGAGTAAAATAGAATAAAAGTAAATAAAGATTTGATCGAATGGTGATAAACTTTTGATTGATATTATTGAATAGATCATGCTCCTTTGAGTTAAGATTTAACATAATCTTAAAATCTTGGTTAATTGAGCAATTCTAAGGCTTGGTTGGCAGCATTGATTTCTTTGTTATATTCTGCAACTGTAGAATTGTAGACATCAGTGGCGAAAGCATAGTCATCATTTTCAGCTTATAATTATCCATTGAGTGTTGCTAAATCAGCATCGAGTTCATCGATAAGTTCAAGTGTTTATTCAATTTTGGCTAAATTGATTAGATATGTTGATAATACTTGCATTAGCTTCAATTTCAGCATTCTTTACAACAACAGCTCTTTAGAATTCAGCATGTTCTTAATTCAATTATATAACTTAAGCATTATAATCAGCAACATCTTAAGCTTCATCGGCTGTAAGTTAATTGAGTGAATCAACTAATTCTACTCTTAAATCATTGAAAGCAACAACAATCTAAAATAGATATAAAAATAAGTTACATCTCTAAGAGCACCTTAATCAGCAAAATTAGATTCAACAGTAATTTCTAAAAGTACTTTAACAAAGATTTAGAATTAGTTGTGCTTTTTCAATGAGTTTTAAATTTTGCTAAGGTTCTTTTATACTTTCTTGATTTAAGCAAGAGATGGTGCTTCAAGTGTGCTTAACAATTAAAGACATTCATCAATAGCACTAATAGCATCATTATGTTCAGCAACTTAAGCTTCAAAGACCTCATGATCATTTTCTCTTTAGACTGTAGCTTATTCAAGTGTTTATCTGTTGTGGGCAATATTTTCTTATAATTATTCAAGTTAGGCAGCAAATCTATCTCTTTATGGGATAAGAACATTATCATAGAAATCATGAGCATTGAAGAGTTCTATAAACAATCACAAACTATCTATACCTCTTTCCTTATCTTAGATTTCTTATTCAAGTCTACTTACTTCTCTATTATGAACATCTGTTCTTCTGTTGAATTCGTGATGGACTCCAGCCAATTCTTCTTCTAATTCACCAACCTTTATTATAAGATATATAGTTTTACGAGTTTTTCAATTTCGCTGTTAAGTTCAGAAAGAATACCTCCTGTTGTCATATGGAGTTCAGCATAATTCAAAATAAACTTTCCCCAACCAGATGAGTGAATTTAAGCAAGAGCCTTTTAGTCACGGTTAGTCCAGATAGAGGATTAGACATTGATTGCTGTTGCACCAAGCACTAACAATACACAAAGAGTTAGTTTTAACATTTAATGTTATTATTATTGATATACATCAGACGATTATTTTGTGCTAAAAATTGAAAAACGAATATTTATTTTCAATTATTTTAATATAAATAAATTATATTATTATTAATGATTACTCCATTAACATTTCATGAATATAATCATAAATCAATAAAACTCTTCTGTTTACTTTTAGATCTTAAAAATTCTTCTACAAATTCTTCCTTTTATTAAATTTCACCAGTCTAAGGATTGATCAGCACACGTTTTTCAAAACAAAAATATGCAGCAGGAGTTAATTTTATTACACAATGTAACGGTATATCTAAAGTAGGAACTTCTGGTATTTCATTTTGATGAAAGTAAGCATACAGACATCTTAAAATTGCTTAATGAGCTATTATCATCACAGGTTGTCTTGAACGTTCAATCTCAAATATTACTGGTTCTATTCTACTTATTAAATCTAAATATGATTCTCCTCTTGGGTATCTATACCCTAATTTATTGATTTTTCTCTCCTATTAAATATTTATTATAAAAAATGATTACTTAAAAGTCATTAGGAAATTTTTAAGCTATTTCAGAATAAGTCATTCCATCACAAATACCTACATTAATTTCATCTAGTGTCTTTAGTTGTAATGGTTGAATTTCTAGTTTTTAAGCTACAACATCAGATGTATGGACTGCTCTTCTCATAGTGGATGTAAAGAATATGATCTCATTTTTAATTTCCTTAGTTGGAAATTCTGAATAGAAGAAATCAGCTAATTTTTCTGCATACATTTCTCCTAAGGCAGATAAATCAGAATCACCTCCAACTCTATCATCCACATTATACTGGCTCTCTCCATGTCTAGATAAGTAGATTGGTCTTGGATATGTATGAAGATTCATAATAAAGGATACGATTTTGGACAACAAAAAGCCATAGACTTAATGAACAATAATCTAAGCATGGAAACATGTTTAGTACGTCTGCTCCGACGTTCATCGTTTTGATATATGAGAGATTCTCATCGTCGGTTATAGTTTCATAAGCCTGTTCGTACATCTTAATTCTATTTAGGAAATCAATTGTAGCTTATTCAGGGTTCATGTTACAATAATCTGGATTATTTATCTTGGTCAATCGTATATTATTTTAAATCACTTTAGAATCATTACATATTGATTCAATCCATAGAGTCTGAATTCCATTAAATTAAGATTTTAGATCATTTTCAATCTAATGTCTTCTTTCTTTTGTTATGTTTGTTCCATCCAATATTCCTACATCTCCTCCATTTTAAAGAAATTATATTAAATCTTATAATGCCATTTTTGCACAATCATTTCTTGCTTTTTAAGCCTAATTTTAATTTGTTATGTATTACTTCTTCATTATGAGGATCAAAAAATTAAGATTTGCATTCAGTGCCACATATTTCTCTTCTATAATTTCCATTAATGAATACTCTACTTTTGTAACCTAACCAATTAAAGTAACGATTCAATTTTCTAGATATATATGTTTTCCCACGTGCTGGTAAACCAACTGTGCAGATGGCTATTTTTTATGATCTATTGCATCCCTACATATTATAAAATTTTAATAATTCTTAGCCTTAAAATAATTTTAATGTTCAAATGGTTTAATAAAAGGGACTAATAAAAACCTTAAAAAAATCTCTAAAAACCATACAACTAACTCTCTAAAGAATAAGCTTAAGAGATTCTTTCTAATTTTCAATATAGAACTTTAGCTGATCTCATTTATAAAGATGATTCTCATCCTGATTTAAATGTAGAATAAGAATAAAAAAAGAATATTCAATTAAAAACTTAATCTCATTTAGATGAATAAGGGCATTTGTATTTCAAAAAAGAAGAACAATTATCATGGGTTGATGAAGATTCTAATTATGAAGAAGATGAAATAGATAAATAAATATATGAATAAATGTATGAAGAAATGCAATAAGAGTTAAATCAAAGAGGAGATAGAGAATATTTCAGACCTATTACTGGTCCTTAAAATAATGAGAATGATGAATGGGAAACAGAAAGCGATGAACAAAATTGATTTTTATATATATTTATTTATCAACCAAAATTACCATGAGTCTCTATTAATTCTATCCCTTTTATAGTAATCTTATCTGATATCTATAAATTTTCTATTAAATTTTGAAAATCATTCTGAAAAACATTCTTCAAAAGTAAAACTCCTATTCATTTACTAACTATATTACCATCACTTTTCATCATTTCCAATACTCTTGTATAAGATTATTCATCTGTTGTTGCCGTAATCTTAAATAATCTAAATTAAATTATATTTCTATACTGTCCATCTATAATTATCCTTATCTTATAAACTAAACCTCCTTGCTCTAATTTACCTTAATATAATTCTTATATTTTCTTACTTGGCAAATACTATAATTTTATAATTCTATATATTTACAGATGAATTTGCTCTCTGTTTAGATAAAGATTTTGGTTGTGATTTTTACATTTTGTAAAATGATGTTTACTATTTTATTCGAGTGAATAATCTTTAGTTTTCATCCATTATTTTCTATTAAAAGTCTTTTCTATTCTTATAATTTAATGTGCTTTTTGTTGGAGTTGTTGAACTGTTTCTCTACTTCATTGTAATATCAAGTATTTTTTGGAATAGTAATTGGTTTTCTCTATTTATTTGTCTTGACTTCTCTTCTTGAATATAATTCTAACGGGCTGCTCTCGACTAGGTTATGATATACCTTTTTATTTGGATTACGGTATTGGATTTGGAAACATTAATTTATTTAATGAATTTATAAATCATCAAAGAGGTCTCTAAATGTACTAATTTTAACAAAAAATTATGAAGAAAAAAATTATTATACCTCCTTTAATTGATAACTTGATTGAAGAAGCCTCAAATAAGAATTAGATTATGATTAAAAAATTGCTATAACAATTTGATTTTTTTAGAAGAGACATGATTCTGAAATTTAAGAATGCCATAAAATTTTGAAAGAAGAAAAAATTAAATAATTTTATTATAAAAAAAGAATGAGTATTTGGGAATAAAGGAGCTCTTTGATGTTAAATTTATGGATTTAATTTTCTAAGATTACGATTTTATTTTAGATGAGCAAGGATATGATATAAGATAATTGAAAATAATTTTTGGTAAGATAAAAAGGTATACAGATTATAAATTATTTTGTATGAAAAATTGATCTATAAATAAATTCTAAAAAGCTTCATAAAAATTTAAATGGTATCTTAATTAAATATATACAATCAGCATAATTTATTGGATTTTTTGGAGAAAAATCAACTACTAAAGAGACAACTTTAATAATGATTTACATAATAAGATGAAGATGATTGTTAAAAAAATGACACATTATATAAATGATTATAAATAAATAAAAACTAACATAAGAATACTAAATTTAATAACAGTTTTAATTATATTAGTATAATTGCAAGAATAAATCTAAAAGTAGTTTCAAAAAGAAAACAGGAAATCAAAATACTCATTAATAAAGTTAGTAATAATATTTAATAATTGTACTATTTTGAATTATTTTAAATTATAAGTGATTCTGAAAGTAATAAATTTAAATTAAGAAAAAAGTTTGATTTTGAAATGAATTTAAAAACAAAATGAGAGCAAATAAGTTGGATACAATGGGAAATGATGGGATTTGATTTAAACGAAATAATGATTAATTTAATTAAGAATCAATCTTCCCTGACAGCCATGAGCAATTCGATGCCATCTTCTTTATAGATGGGAGCAATGGCAGCATAAAGTGGAATTTCTTTAAGCTCTTTGGATTCAAAGGCAATTCCTTGATTCTCACCATTAATAGAAAAGGATAGTTAACCCTTTAAAAGTTGAATTAGATATTTTGTACATCAATCATATTAAGCATAACTCCAATAATGTCACCTTTCTTGTATTATTTGCCATACTTATTGCCACTGGAGTTAGAATTGTGTCTCAGTTCACCATTATAGATTGCCCATCCTTCTTCATTATCACTGAAAGCTTGCTTAGGTGGAGCATTGAGTTTACATCTTAGAACAACCCATTCTTGGTGCATACGCCAATCTTAATCAAACTGCCTTTCAAGATTTTAATCTCATAGTAGTATTTATAACCTGGAGTGAATTCCTTAAAATATTAAACTTAATACCTAATCACCAATAGCACTTTTAAATCCAGATCCATCTGTAGCTATCACTTATAATTAGTCTTGGCACAATTTCAATTTAGTACTAGTACGTTGAGGGTCCCAAGAAAACAGAGCTTGCTTAGTTTTGATTCTTTACGTAGTAGGTACCCATCTGGGTATTCCATTTTTATATATTTTTATTTTATTTAATGTAAAAACCTTATATTGTGATTGTTGGTGTCTCACTATTTTTTATTACCCTGTTCCTTATTAATACAATCCATTAATATGATTAAACATCCTAATAGACTTAAGAAGATTAAATCATCAAAGCTACTGATTTGATCGCTGTAGAAGTTCCTTTTCCTTGGGAAATTAAAAAGATAGATGAAGAACATTTAAAAATATTAGATCAAAATGAAACTGATTTAATTGAAGGTTATTCTTTTTTAAAAATATATAATAGAAAAGAAATTTACTAATGGAATTACTAGAGAAGAATTAGGCCAAGCCGGATGGACTCTTTTGCACATGATTTCTGCCACTCTTCCTGTTGATTTTGATGAAGAATTCACATTCAAAGTCAATATCTTTTTGAATCTATTGTAAGAACAAAATCCTATTTTTCTACTTTAGTGGACAGTTCTTCCCCTGTAAAGAGTGTGCTGGACATTTTTTGAATATGACCACCGTTTTGCCATTCGAAGGAACCACTAGAGTCGACTTCATGTCTTATCTTTGCATGTTGCACAATGTTGTAAATGAAAGATTAAAAAAAGTATACATACAATTATATATTATTAGCCAATTTTTAATTGTAGTGAAATACATTAAAGATGGGGAGGGGATTGTGGATGCAAGAGTGCCTTAGAAGAAAGCATTAAAAAATATAGTAAAGGGTAAAATTGATATATAAATATATCATTCAATATTCTTATATTTTCATTTCTTTACTAGTATTATCTAAAAATTAATAATATATTAATTTGTTGATGTTCAATTCATATATTTTTTCAATTATTATATTCTAATTAATTATGTAAATATAAATATTTCTTGAGAATTTCAAGGGATGAGTTTTTATAAACTATTTTTTCTGACTTACCTGTTAACCATTTAATATCTCGTTTAATTATTCCAAGTGTAAACCTTTTCTAATTTCATAAATTATTTATTTTAAGAGTTTGCCCATATCCTTATATTTTAAGCTTGATTAGTTATATTTTCATAAATTCTTTATTAAAACAGCATAATCCTAATCAATTTATGTAAGATATTTTAACTAATAACTTTGATATCATTGTTTATTCATATCAATTTTGAGGCTGATTTTTAGCAGAAGAAATCTTTAAAATAAATACTTTTTCAGATATAATTAATTATTTTATCTTAAAATCTTTAATAATAATCTTATTCTTTTTAATTCGATCTCATTTATTCATAAAAATATAATAAAAAAATTCTTCATTGAACATACTATATACTTATTCTTCAAGTTTTAATGTTAAACTTTAAATCACTTGACATAGTATCGAATAAATTATTAAAAATTGCTTGCAATAAGGTAATAATCCAATTATAATTTTTATATAAGGCTTCTAATTTTATTTTTCTTTTCCAATTCCTGATTTATGAAATATATTCATCTGATTCAATTATAATAAAATAAATAAAATTATTTTTTCTAAATAGGAAAAATATAGGGTTAATGGAGTTAGAATCTCATTTAAATCTAGTTTATTTGCTTATTGCCTGCGGCAATTCATTCACTAACTTGTATAATTTTATAAACTCTATCGACTCTAATAAAGTATATAATAAACATGTCAGTATTTTATAAGTAAAAATAAGTTATTTTTAAATGATTCTGTTAATATATTTTTTGATAAAAATATTGTAGCTTGTATACAAGTTGGATTAAAATAATGAGTTATTATGTAAAAAATTTTGATAAAAAAAAATAGATTTTTATTGTATATTTTAGAAATGAAGAATTAGAAAATTGAGGTAAAATGTTTTGGATATAAGCCTATTAGAATGAAAGAAGTTTAAATGATTAAAATAAGATGAAATCTAAAGAAGGGTATGAATAAAGATTGAGATTATAAATGTTTTAATGATTAATAGAGAGATTAGAGACAAGATTTTTGATATAAATTTATTAGATTGAAATATAAAGACTAACAGTATCTTTAAGAAAGATTTTGTTTAATATAGAATTAGAGGAATGAAATAAATGTTTGATTACAGATAATTGATGATGGCATAAATAAAATTGAAGTAATAAGAAGAAATGTTGAGAGAGTGTGTGTGGATGAAGAAATATAAAAATAATTATATATACCAATATTAAAACGAAGAAATTTTATTCCGTTTTTGACATTATTAAAAATAAATATGAAAACATTCGTTGTGATTTGCCTCGTAGCAGCTGTGTTTGCACTTGACACAAATAAATTTGCTGTGCTTCTCTAAGCAGGCACAAGAGGAAATGATGCAGTTGAATCTGTTTACAATCTCTTAAGAGATTTGAAAACAGAAAATGTTTAAGTATAAGCTGCTGCTGATAGAAAGAACAATACAGATGAAGGTATATAATATATTTAATTGTAGAAATCTTTTCATAAGTTATTGGTGATTTGACAAACGTTGCTTCATTGAATAAATAATAATGGGAAGCACTTGGTGCTGTCAGAGCTGATGTTGAAGCTTAAGTCAGAGTAAGCAAAATCATTAATTCATTAAGGATGGATATTCATGGTTGGCCTGGGCTGAAGCTAGACTTGCTGAAATTGTTAGAAGAAATAATTAACTCCAAGACTAAAGATGTTGGGCCAATGGACTTTTTGTTAGATCCCTTGCTGATCATGCTGATGCCATCGGAGTTGTTTAACTCTTATAATAAGATGTTGCTGGATTCCTTACAAACAATGCTGGAGTTGAACTTGTTGAAAAAGCTTAAACTATTGCCGATAAATTATCAGCATACAGTCATCTTTTCTAATAAGATGCCATCTAAAAATTCTAATCACTTGCTGAAGTTAAGAGAGAAGGCACAACCGGAGAATAAGTCTTATCAATCTTAGTTGATTTATAAGCTGAATTAGAATCAACCCTTGCTACCTTATAAGAATAAGAAATCCATGCTGCATTTGCTCTTGCCAAATATGTTTCAGATACTAATGCTGAAGTTGCCTGGTTGACCTCTGAATAAGAAAGAAGAACAGGACTTGTTGAAAAATTAGAAACTGTACTCTATTTTTATATTTTGTTTAACAGCAACTCCCAGCTGTCCTTGCCTAATAAGCTAAAGCCCTTAAACTCTGGAAAGATTCATTGAACGCTGTTGCTGGAGCTACCGCTGATTTAGAAGAAAAAAGAGAATTCTATGCTTCCGAAACTGCCAGAAGAGCCGGTACTAATTATCACAATAATCAATAGAGGAAAACGCCATCATCGATGTTGTCATCTAATTGTTCAAAGACTAAGTCAGATCCTTAGCATCATAAACCAGCCTTGGAAGAAAATGATTTCCATAATACAAATACAAAATATATTCAATTTACAAAAAAATTAATTATTCAATAACTTTATTCATTATTCATTCTATTACAATACTCTCTAAAGCAATCTATCTTTTTTTTTTACATTATTTTAATTATTTTTTACATTTTGTTTTTTCATTTTTCTAAGTATTTTATAAATCTTTATTCTTAAAATATCAGGATTAATTCATATAAATTCATATAACTAATCTATTTTCTATATTTTTTTAATCGCGTAAAAAATTACGTTACAGTTCAAGAAAGAATATTTTAACTTTTTATTATTTTATCTTTACAAAATTTAATAAGACTTTAAATTATTTATTAAATCAAGAAGATTACTTATAAATGTTTAACTATTCACTGCAAACTTATGTTCTCATAAACATATTTTCATATAAAACTCACTAAAATTTAAAGGATACTTTTTATTAATAAAATGAAAACCATTTAAAACTACATTAATAGATTTTTAACACAAAAATGAATAAAAAACTAGGGTTAGAAGAAAAAACCGAATATTTATTTGTCTACTTTTAATCTAATGACTTGTATTTGATCATAAAAATTAATTTATGATCAAAAAGTATAAAGATCTCTCTTAAGTAAAACATTTTCCTTTTGTTAACAATTAAATAATTAATTTGAAATTGTCATTCAGAATTACCTTCCAAATAAACATCTGATATTCATTTAGAAAATAAGGGGATAGGAATATAATTTAAAATATTGAAAAATAAATATCTGATTATTTTTGTGAAAAATTATCTATGTAATGTCCAAATAAAATTTATAATTATTCTAATATTAAATCCATATAAAAGTGGTGAAATATAAATTTTATTTCATATAAATAAAATTATGTTATCCCAATCCATAGTGAGCATTTAATCTAGCAAAGTTTGCAAACCAAAAACAAGTTAAATAGGATTGTTATCAACATCAATTAGTAAAATTGGAGATTCTAACTTAACTACAAAAACTAAGGAGTCAAATAATATGTCTCCAGTCAAAATGAGATTATTTAAAGATTAATCACCAAAACAAAGCAAAGGATTATAAGGAATAATAGTTGGGGAATATCAGTATTGATTTTAATTAATTTAGTGCTCTAACACCTTCTCATATTGTATTTAGTAGTATTCATAAAAGTACGTCTCCTATGAGATCAAGTTTGAATTATAATGACTCTCCTCAAAGAGCTAAAGCTAGAATAGATAGATTCAAGAATTGGGACTCAAAGTTAGGACTTGAGCTTTAAATCCAAAATACAAAATTGACAAGACTTAATAATGAATTATCATACTCTAGCTACTAATCTCATCATTTATCAACTAAATCAGCTGTTTTCTTGGGCAACAATCAAAGCAAATTAGGTTTTGGTGGAAATTAAAGTGAAATAAGATTATTGAGTGCTAAATTGAATGCTATTTCTCCTTCTCAGATAGGATCATTTACTGTTGAGTAATAATTTAAATATACATTTATAGAAATAACCATGAATTAGCCTCCTTATAACAATCCCTTACTAGAATCTTAAAATAAAGTCAATAGATTTGAATTATTTAATTTTCAAGTATATAAATATGGATATAAAAATATAAGCTTAAAATTAAACATTCTAAATTTATTTTGAAATTATAGCTAAAAGAGTTCTTAAATAAAAATTAAAAAGATTAGAAATAGGATACAAGAACATCCTATTATTTTATAGTCTCCAAAATAGTATAATGGTTATGAAAATAAAATTGTTATCATTGACTAAAGTTTAAGTATGCATTTGAATAGTGAAAAATATAAGAATTCTAAATTAAATAATATACAAACTAAAAGTTAAGAACATCAAGATTGAATAAAACTTAGATCTCAATAAGGCATTAAAGGCAATAAAATGTAAAATAATGAAAAAATTATAAAAAGTTTTTTTGTTTCATGAATAAACTTTTTCTGTATTTTTGATAATGAAAATTTATAGTTCACTATAAGAAATAGATTGATATACTTTTTGCATGAAGTGTATGAGATTTGATAAAAATATATATTTATGACTATAATATAATCCTATATGTTGAATAATGTACTTGTATGATATATTATGAATCATTTTCTGGCTGCTAAAGCGACTTGGGTTGCAATTCTATTTAAATCTTATTATCCTTCTTTGGTAACAACTCTTGAACCCTTCTTTAAAAGGGATTTATTATCTTTCTTTAAAACCTTAATAGATTCTAATTATTAGAGCAAATATCTAATGACTTTTCCTGATCCAGATTCATGTTTTCCATTATCATTCATTGAACCAAACATATGAGTCAGATTTCCAACTCCCTAAAGTTTATTTAATAATTATTTATTACCCAATGACCTCTAACATAAATTTTACGAGCAAGTGCTGCAGCTCTAACATACATCCAATCTTAGTCAATTGGTGATATTTCTTTTCCTAGTCCTGTCTTTACAATTGAAGCCCAATCTGGAATCTTGATCTTGTTATTCTTTTTCAAATATTCTGCATATGCACGAATGAAATCTTATGCTGGTACATCCTTTATTTAATTTCATGTATTTACTTTCACAGTATAGAATGGTGTTGACATTAGAAAAATTAAAATATTTTTTGAATATTTGCAAGATTTTAATTAATAAATAAAATCACCTTCTTAAAATTCTAACAATCTCATATTTTTTCTTGTGTAATAATATTTACTCTAAATTATACTAATAATGAGATATTTTTTTTATAAATGAATAACAATTTAATAAAATAAAAAGTTTTTCACATTATTCATTATTAGAATATTTTATTAATATAAATTCTTAAGACTCTAAAGTTTTAAAGAGAATTTGTTAAAATATTATAAAATGTTAATAAATTATAAATCTAAGAAAGCTAATTAATATCATGCTATAGAAATGTTGGAAGTTGGATATTCTATATTATAAGCATTAAGTTTAAGTTAGATGAAAAGGAAAGAATAGATTTAATAAATAATTGAAATATAAAATCGATATATAGAATTGATGATAAAAGTGAAAAAAATATAAGTTTGATTAAGGAATGGAAAAAGATTGATAATTTGAAGATAAAAGAATATTAAAAAATTGTAGAATAATAGAGACAATAAGAGAAAGAATGTAATGGAATAGAAAAAAAGAAGTATTAAATGAATGAAATGAAAAGTTGATTATATTATGATAGTAATATTATAACGAAATGGGGATAAAATATTTATAAATTAATTACATACATAAGCATTTTTCGATCCGTTTTTAAAACATTAAATTAAATATATGCAAAAACTAGCCATATTGACATTGGTTCTTGCTCTTGCAGCTGCCAAGTTTGTAGATACACATGCAAGCTTAGCTTAGATTGATTCTAATCCATTTGGAAATGTTGTGTTGTCAGCAATCAAGGCTCACTTATAAGCCTAAACACCAGCCAATGAAGTTAATATGTTATTAAATGGTGTTGCTGCTGGATTACAATAAGACTAAAATGACCATGATCATGCTTTTGAACTTGATACAACAACCAATAACAGAGTAAGAATATTAAAATATACTAGATCGTTGAAGATTTAGAAAAGGAAATCTTGTATCACTAAAATCAAATCTCATCAAACACTTAATTGAGAGATGATACAATTGAAGCTTTGGCTGTTTCTGAAGAAGACATTAGAGTCGTAATTTAAGACATTGCAACAAATGAATAAACTTATGCTAGAGAAGAAGCCACAAGAAACTAATAACACGAAACTTTTGTTTCTAAGATTGCTGCCATTGATGATGTTATCGATGCTATTGATGAAGCTGCCAAACTCATCTAACATTTAAGTTTAGGTGCCTCATTTGTCTAAGTCAAATCAAAGTATGAAACAGTTCACAAGAGACTTACTGATAATACATCACACAGTCAACTCTTATAAGTAAATATATATTTATATATTTTTATTATAGCCAGTCGTTGTTGCTCTTACTGAATTAGCTACTCATGGAGTTAACTAAAAGGCTTTAACCAAAATTGCTTAATTATTAAGTGAAATCAGATAATAATTAGTCTCAGAAAAAGCTGCTAAGACAGTATTTATTTCTTCTAATTAAATAGGATGTTGAAGAAAGATAAGCTGCACATTGGGCTGAATTCAGCGTTCATTTGAGCAATGAGCATACCAGATTGGTTGAAAGAAAAGCTTAATTAGAAGTCTAAATCTAAGAATAAAAGGATACTATTGAAGATGCTTAATCATGGATTGAATTCCACACCTTAGAATTAGAAAACAGTGAAGAAAGACTTGCTGGATAATAAGCATGGTATGCAGTCTAATCAGAAATCTATGAAACTTAAACTGCTGAAAGGTATTATAAATCATATTCTTTTTAGAGCTGCTTAAAATGAAATCGTTGATAGACTTTAAGAACACATCAGTGAGAAATTATCAACCACTGCTCAATTCATCAGCAAAAGAAATTGATTTATTAAAAAAAATAAATTATGAACAATAGTTCTTAGTTCAAATATTTATAGTCTAAAAACTTCTCATTTATTCCTTGTTCTTTAATCTATATTAGATTTTAAAAACTAATTTTATCCTAATATTTTAATACTTATAAATGAGTTATGATAATATTTATTGGTATCAACTCTAAAATCTTAATTATTTCTTTAAGTAACTAGTTTTTTTTATTTAAGTCTAATCAAAACATTTTTAATTAAAACTAACTATTAAAATAAAATTTTCCAAATATCTTCTGTTTCTAGTAATAAAGAATTTTTCCATTTTATTAAATATGGAAATTAAAAAATTTTTTTTGCCTTTCTTCTTTTAAAATTTACAAATAAATTTCCATTTTTCTTTATTCTAAGATTTAACAAGTTGAACAAAACAAATTCAATGAAAAGATGAAAACATTATCAATTATAAAGTGATTTTATATGATTTCTAATTTTTTTTTGTATTAGAAAACAATTTAGTTTTTTGAAAAATGAGGAATAAAAGATATATAAAAATTGCAAAATTTGAGATAAAAAATATTTTAAGACCTTCATTTCTCTTCAATTTTTTGTTTGTCGCTTTGTTTTTGAATTTCCTTTAATGAAATTTATTGCTTTTCAAATTGTTTTTTTAATGCTTCTAAATCATCCTTAGGTATTTTTTTTAATATATTTAACCACTTAAATTCCATAGTAGATAAATTTTGAACTCTTTCTTCTATTTCTGGCTAATAATCTTGTGAGTAAACCTATTAATAATTTTTCGAATTCATACTCAAATTTATTATTCAAATTTATTATTCTCTTTATTTGATTTAATGAATAAAAAATGATTAAGAATCTAAAAACAAAAAGTAATAGCTCATTTAATCTTTATAAATAATAAGTTCAGATTTTCTTCATTCAATTTTGATATGATAATAGTTAGAACTTATAAAAATTCAAAAAAAGATAAATTATTTAATGTTGAGGTGTCTGATAAAATCTTTTTAGATTTTGTTTTAATTATAAAACCTAAATGTAAGACAAAGTTATATACAGAATTAAATTCTTTCATTTTTTCAGGATTTCATTGAACTATAATTAAAAAATTATTCAGGTAATGAAGCAACATTCAATAGAAAATGTTCACACACAAATGATTTAGTATGATAAAAAGTTTTTTATTGAGAATTATCTGTTTTTTATATTACATCTATTTAATGAAGTGATATATTTATTACTTGAATTAATAGCAAGAGGCTTTTTAGTTATTGTAATTTTGGAATGTTTATAAAAAATTAGAAACCTAATTCACTTTTATCATAGACCATAAGTAAAGTAGCAAGAGAATTTAAATTTTCTATAGATTACTTAAAAATCACTAATGAAAAAAACTAAAATCTTTGTTATAAAAAACTCAGTAAAATGAATCATAACTTTTAAATAACTTAAAATTTTTAAAGAAAGTTTATTAATTGAATATAATAGATTTCTTTTTTTGATAATTTTCCATTTAAAATTCTGTAAAAATCTGAAAATGCAATAATAGAAAAAATACCTATTCTACAAACTATCAATCTAATCAGCAACTTAGATAGGATGCAGAAGAGTCTAGATGATTAAGAAAACTTCCAATTTAAGATATATTTTACAAATAACTACCTTAGATGGCTAGAGTATTGAATGTTTGAAAATATTTTTTTAATCTTAAAATAATTCTTAAATAAAATTAAATAGAAGATTTTTATTAATAAATACAATTATGAATGCGAGTGAGTAATTTAAAATTCTCAAAGAACTAAATGATATAATTTTACAAAAAATCTTTTTTATTTTTGTTGGAAGAGAAAGCCTTGAAGTTTTAAATTCATCAAAATGAAAAAACAAGTAATTAAAATTAGATTTTGTATGAACAAAATATAAAATCATCATTAATCCCCGAAAATAAAATTTAATTTATTTAAATGATCCTATTACGAATTAAGAATCTAAAATAGAAATGCTAGTAAATTCTAAGCCCTTACTTTCTGAGCTTTTAAATTTTCAAATAATGAGAAGGTTACAGAAAATACACAACATAATGTCAAAATATTTAGAAAATGGATAAAATTAAGAAAAAGTTATATTGTGTTTTTAATTTAAATGCTTTTCAAATAAATCGGATTGAAATAGAAAATCAATTAATTTTAGAGGATTTTTATAATCTATTAATAAAAATGTAATATGAATAGTTTAAAATTTGATACAAAGGCTTAAAAAAATGAACCATTTGAGGATCAAAAGAATTATTTATAATTTTCCTTATGTTAGGATGTTAGGTCCCATGCTTCTATGTAAAATTCAAAATCTTTAGGGAAATACATAATCTAATGAACAAGTTCAATTAAGTTCAATTGATGTTAATGCTATTGCTTATTAAATTTATAATATCTAATTAAATAAAGAAGCATGATTCTATTTACAATTAATTTAAATATAATATTAGATTAAATGGTGTATTACATGAATAATTACGTATTTTAGAAATGATAGTTAACTGCATCTAAAATATATTAATATGATATACTAGTATAGTTATAAATATATATTATAAAAAACGGAATGAATTGGTTAATCATTCTAGGTTTGATTTATTTGTGTTAGGCTGAGCATTTTCTATATGAATCAGAGACAGGAGTTACTATACAAAATATCATTAATAAAGATATAGATATCAATATCAAATTCAAAAAACAATTTACAAGAACTCCAAAGATTGCCTATTCGATCGGCTTATTAGATATGACTGGTTCTTCATTTATGAGTGAAATTTTGAATGTGAATCAAGAAGGTATTTCCCTAAAATTAAAGCAGGTTTCTCTATAAGAGTTAAAGGAGATAAAATTGATTAAATCTCATACAATTGGATGGCCACTGATAACCCTTTAGTTCACATTGAATATGTTAAGTCATAAGAATCTGAAATATAATTACCCCTTTTTAATTATGATAGTGATACAACTCCTTTAGTTAACTCATATTTGGTTGGTGCTACGTTTAAAGATAAGAAAGAATTCAATCAAGAAATTGTCGAATTAAACAAGGACATTATAAAAATAGTGACAAGTGGTGCAAAAGAATTCAAGCTTTGTCTATTGATATCAAACTTCGAGAATAGTTTCAAGACTGATGATTTAGGAATAATTGTCGATTAAGATGATCATACATGGTTTTCTGCTTCTAAAGATGCTTAAAAAATTTTGGTTTCATCTTATGAAATTCCTAGTGATATTGTAGATTTTGTTTAATTGATGGGTATTTCAGGATTTACATCTTTAAGTGATCATATAAGAATAGAAGTTAATGAAGAATAGGAAAATGATGATAATGTTATAAAAGTTGAATTTGGAACTTGTAAAAATTTTATATAATAAAATAGGGGATGAATCAACAATCAAATCACTTAGCTTTTATGGATTTTATATAGGCAATTAAGAAGTGAGGTATTATGATTAAAATTGTGCTTATTTGTACAGTGAATGTGATTATTAAGGATAAGAGGTGAAAATTTGTGACAATAAAGCAAAGCTTGATTATAATGGATAAATAAAAAGTATAAGATTACCCAAAGATGCTGTATTCACTCTTTATGGAAAGGAAGAATTCGAAGGAAAGAGATTTAGAATTGAATCTAGTAAATAATGTATTGATGCATTGTATCTTGGAAAATGAGCATTTATATATAATGAACAAATTAATCATGATACTAGTAGTATTTTAGTGTTTTATTATTTAATAAATGTATAAGAATAGTCATTCAATAAACTAATTATTGTAATAAAATATTAAAAAATTTATAAAAAAATGGATGAATTTTTTGATGATCCAGCAGGCACTATTGAAACTTATATAGTTCCAGAAGTTGCAGCTCAACCTTTAATGTTTAATGATGCAGGTATGGTACCTTTGAAATACTTAATAAAGCTAGATAACCATTTGAAATGCCTATTGCACCTAATGCTGGAGTTACTTTAGTGGTATATGTTTGATTTATTCTACCTTTTTAGAGTGCTGAACAGTAATAAAGAAGAGACAAATTAAGAGAGATAGAGGAAGAACGAATTAAACTCGTTAGGGAGAGAGATTAGGAAGAACGAATTTAAAAATAGTAAAGAAAAGAGAAAGCTTAACAATATTTATTGCAATTTTAAACGTAATTCAATAGTTATAATATATCAAGTCAAATGAAAAGGGATATTCAAGAAAGAAAAGCTGCAAATTAACAAGCTTAAGAACTAAGGTCACAAAATAAAAATGAATATGTATTATGTTATTCATGCTACTCAAGAAAAACTCTTGGGATAAGGTAGCCTCTAACATTTCATTGAAAGATGGAGAATATCCTGGAGAAAAAGATGTAACCAAAATGAGATAAGCCATACTTAACAAGAGAAAGGACTTGACTAAGTGAAAATGCATATTGTAAAATATATATAATAAAAAACATATGTCATTGTTAATTAAAAATTAATTAATATTCAAAATATCTATCATGATGTTTTTTATTTTTATATCGCCTTGAAATTCCAAAAGATTATAAATTCTGAAAAATCAAGTTAAAGTTCTTTAGTAATTATAAATAATAATGTAGAATTCTTATTCTTTTTTTTTAAATATCATATTATTCAGGTTTTATTCATATAGTCAAATATTCATGAAATTTAAGGTGAAATACTCTCTAAAAAAAATGATGTAGAATAGATGAATTAATTTTATGAAATATATTTACAACTTTAACACTTTCCGAAAATTTATTGAATTCTTATTTTTTCAAATTTAAGGAAACATAATGAAGATGTTAAAATTCATCAATATTTTTTTCGTTATTTTTTATGTAGAATCTCATTCTAAAGAAAAATAAAAATTAAAGTTTTTAAAGAGGATAAAAAGATTTGAAAGAAATTAATTATTTTTTAATTAATTCATAAATTTTGCTTTTATTTAGGGAGATTAGTATAAATTACATAAGATTTTATTGGTTAAAACGATAAATGAAAGAAAATTAAATAAAAGAGTAAAAACGAATAGTGTGATTTGAAAAATGAATATTAATACGATAAAGAAGCATAAATTAAATAATGAAATTGATTCTCATCGCTCTTTTGGGATTAACACTCACTTAAGCTGTCTTTGTTAAGAGATCAAATGATCCAAGCAAGGCTGTTTTCACATAATTGGAAGCAATGGAAGAACACGAATTAGGAAGAAAATTGTTAGACACAATTGCTCTCTAATTAAACAACAAGGCCCCATTGGGAGACATTGCTAAAATGTTATAATAATTAAGAGAAAATCTTGTTCTTAATTAATAAGAAGCCGATTAAAAGCATGCTTAAGATGAAGTTGATTGCGAAACAGAAATCTATTAATATAATAGAAGAATTGACTTTGCTTCCAATGAAATCACAGAATCAACCTAAGAAATCTAAACCCTCAGTGCTAAGGTTGAATAATTAACATAAGATATTGAAAACAAATAAGTTTAATTAGACATTTTAAATGAATAAGAAACATAAATTAGAGAATAAAGAGCTGAAGATGCTTAAAGTTTCACAACATTCGAAAATGAAACAGAAAATGTCATTGAAGCTGTTGAAGTCATCATCTAAAAGTTGAGCTCAATCTAACCAGATTAAGAAGTTTTGGCTGCTTTAACATAATTAAATAAGATTGGTTCATCAAACCCAATTCTTGCTCTTATGTAAGTTGCATCAACATTCTCAGCTGAATAATTAAACAATGTCCTCAGTAAATTAGGTGAAGTCAGTGTTTAATTAGCTGAAGCTCTTGAAGATGCAAGAACAGCTGAAGTCTAAGCTTAATTAGATTTTGAAGCTTTAGTTGTTGAAATTGCTTCATAAAGAGAATCATTGAGTGCTGCTAGAGAAGATTCTGAAAGATAACTCTAAGATAACTAATAAGCTTTAGATTTATAAAAGAAGAGAAAGGAAGATGCCACTGATGAATTGAATGCTGCCTCATCAGGAAAAGAATAAAAGGAAGCTGAATGTGATTCATGGAGAACTTAATATGCTGAAGACTCTGAACATAGATAATAAGAAATCTCAATCATTAGATAAGTTGAAGAGATTTTGGCTACCAAGTTATCCAACGTCAAAGTTTACCTCTAAGAAAGATCATCAGCTTGATATAAATTTAATTCTTCAACAAATAAAAACCAACTTAGTCACTTTCTATGCAAACTCTCCAATGTTCTTTCCAATTTTCTAATTTAATCACTTTATACTTCTTCACTCTATCGTTATCTAGTTTTAATTCTTCAAGTTCATGTAACCAATTTGTTATTTAATTATATGACTCTTGTTTTGGTGTTGGACTTAATGAAATAGCCTTTTACAATGAAGAATGATCCATTGTAAATTGTTTACCAAATTCATTAAGTCCTGTCAAACTAGGTAAATGCTTTTACCATTTTTACAAAATTCTTTTTCTTAAAGTTAATTCTCCATCCTTCTTTTGCAACTTTGATTTTATTTCAGCCTCATTTCTTTATGTAAATTAATAATTCATAGGATTCTTGTCTCTACCTTATTCTTTATCCCATTCCCAATGAGCAAATCGTTTCAATACTCGTTTTGGTCTATCTTACTATGCTTACAATAAATATGTATGAATCTGAGACTTTGGTATTAATTCACTAACTGACATAGACCCAACATTCTAATGTCTACATAATCCTGTAAGAACTGGACCTAAATTTCGATCTTCTATAAGTTCTTGCTATTAAAATGCAAATTTTATAAAAGTTAATTTCCGATCTTCCAAAGTTTATTTTAAAGAATTAAAGTCATCCACATTTTGTTTTATGTATGAAGACTAGATTAATTTTTAAGCTGATTATTCTTAATTATTTAAATTGCTATCAATCACATCCTTTATCCTGAATTTTGTTCTTCGAATTGTTTGACTCATATATTATTTATAATATATATAATTTAAACTAAATTTATTAATTTCATCCATTTCTTGATATAAGTTACTGCCCTATAGATATTTACTTTTTTGGAGATGCTTCAACTTGTTCTGATGCTTTAATGTAGTCTTTTTGTTTCTCCATCTTGTTATCAGAAACTGATATTGGACTTGATGCTTAAGCTGAAATTTATTATTATTGTTATTATTATTCTTAATGAGTATTTACAATTTGATCACATAAAGAAATTATTTTATTTATATATTCAAGATTTTAAGGTTATTCATCCCATTAATATATTTGATTAAATGCTTTTCTTGCTTTCAACAAATTGACATTATTCTTCAACTATTGTAATTTAAATTTTATGTGAGAAGATTTATACAATGAAATTAATATCTCTTACTTATAAGAAGTTATTTGATAATTTAAATTAATTATATTGTTGTAGAACTATTTTGCAGTTTATTACAATTGTTAATGTAATTAATTTGGTGTTAATTGATTTGTTCTTGCAAAAAGAGTTGCTTGTATGATCTTCTCATTCACATTCTAACTAGTATCAATCAATAATTTTGTATCCATAATTTATTGAAGATTTATCTGAGATTGTTTATCCTGAACAAGTTTGCAAACTTCTATATTCATTAATGAAGCAACTGAATACATTTTCTCTAAAGTATAATTGCCACTTTATCTCATTGGTGATGTTATGGCATTCATTACTGTTGCTATTAACATATTGTAATCATTAAATGTTAATGTCGATTTATATTATCTTGAATAGAAATCATTTAATCCGAAATTATCAAAGGCAACCACATTTAATCCTTCAAGAATACTAAAATTCTACGCACTTTTTACTATATCATGTCCATATTCTTGATTAGGGAAGATTGTAAAGGTCTATACAACATTTTTATAAGTTTCAACAACATTTTATAATGTGCTGATATCTGTGCTTAAATGATGAGTTATCTATATTCCTTGGCAGTTATCACAAATTTCCACTTCCTTACGCAAACATTCTTCTAAATCCATTTAATAGTTATTTGGATTGAAAATAAGAGATTATGGATTCGCAAGTATCTATTCTACATCTCTTGAACATAAAATTGATCTGGGAACAAACTTTTTATCTCCAATCTCACTAAAGTGTACTTCTATTCCTTCTACAGGTTTTTCACAAGTCCTGTTATTTTCAATTTAATAGTCTTGAATAAGTTATTCATAGAATTTGCATCCTATTCTGACTCCACAGTTCCCCAAACCTATATGTATTATTTCTCTCATTTATTTAAGAATTAATAAATTAAATAATTGCTTAAACATTTCTATTTTTATTGACAATTTGAATTTAATCTATATCAAATTTCAAACAATTCCCCAAAAAGTTGATAGGAACAATTCAATTCAATAAATTATAAATTTTTAATTTTTAATTTTAAATATACTTTTCAAATTTTCATTTTTACTATACTCAAATATTTATAATCATTTTAGTATTTTACTTCAATTTTATTAAACTTAATTTTACTTAACATGATTCTATGTATTCTTGGAGACATCTATCATAATTGCACATAAATTCATATTGAGATTGTAAAACAATAACTTTATTTAAAATCAATAATATTTCCATAAATAATGTA